TCACTTTTGAAAAAGGAGAAGAGGGTAAAAATTAAACAAAAACTAAAGCAAAATTACACTGAATGGAATAAAGAATCCTTATCTTGGTTTATTATCGTTTGGCTAACAGTCAAATGAAGGCGTGCGTTGGTCTTCATGCCTTTATTTGACTGTTTCCCTCTTAACTTTAGTCCTTAATGTGTTTTAGAGACTTCAATAAAATAGTTCAAGTGCCTTAGTTTTTAACGTGCTTTTATTGACCCTGAGATGTTCCAATATAAGGCAGTTTACGAAAAGTTTAATAAACAAGTACGAAGGCAAGATCGTTTAAATTAGGTCTCTTCCCCTCAATATCTCACCTCTAGAGAATGCTTGGTTTTTTTCAGTGTCAACAAACCCTGAAATCTTCACCCAGCCAGCGAATTTCTCCCTTCTCCCGCTGCTAACACTCATCTCCCCTTTTCCTGTTTATGAAAGATCCCTGTCGGGGGCAAAAAAAAAGGGGGGGGTTACCTGACCAGCGTGGAGAAAGCCAGCAGCATGCAGAAGGAGAGTGAAACGAAGCGGACGCCGGCCGGGGTGGCCGGAGGGCGGCTCGTCATGAGCTGCAGCAGCTGCTCAGCTTCCTCGTCGGTCGGCCTGCAAGATGCCGATGACACCAAAAGAGAAAATCAGCCACTCTGGGAGGGCAGGATACGTCCCTTCTCTCTCGCCCCCCCTGCAATGGAGAGAAAGGGCACGCAGACAACAGTTCCATACAGGGCTGTGTCTTGAACCCAGCCCATTCATTACCAACAAAAGCAAAAACTACACGTGAACAACCAGGATATGTAAAGTTCACTAAATATTGTGGTCAGCCATGTTTCTGACAGCGTTAACAGACCCCCATGGAATAAACAGCCAGACCTTCTAGCGCCACACTCGGGAACGTGCGGTCTTCCCAGATGCTGCAGGACCTTTACTCCCACCAATACCAGCTAGTACAGGCCAACAGTGAAGGATGATGGGAGCCGTAGTTCAGCAAACACCATCTTTCCCGAAGCTAATCCCTCCCAATGCCACCATTTTTCTTAGGACCGTTGCTCTATTCTGCCTTTCCTCCAGTGGGTTCAAAGCAGACGGCTCTCCGTCTCCTTACACACAACCTCCTTGTGAGGCAGGATCAAGCTGAGACAGAGGGGAGGGAGAGAGAGCAGCTCCTGGTTACCCAGGTGCAGCCTGCTTGGTGGCAGCCCCTTTTGGAAAGTTTTAAGTCAAATGAGCCTTGCAGGGGATCCCTCTGTACACATGATCCACTCTATAGGCATGGCTGAACTTTACCCTTGCAGCTCTGAACCTTATACTGGAGGCAGCACAATTGCTTCATATTTGGCAGGAACGGAAATCCAAACTAATTCCACTAATCACTCGGAAATAAATAAACAAATAAATAAATAATTCCACTACTCACTCAGTGGTCAAACAAACACGGCAAAACACTGGGACGAGAAAGCTAATCCCATTACAGATTTCTTTTAAAAGTTCCATGCCTCAATGGGAACTAGAACCTTGACCTCCAAACGCCTGCACTAGGGGATAACTTTAAAAAAAATTGCTCTTTTTTTTTCAGGTCTCACTAACCCTGGTTTGTATGACCAACAAGCTGAGATGGCAAACTGTAATTCCAAATGTTGGAAGGGGACATATGGGGGGAAAAGGGGCTTCTGGGTCTTTACAAGACCCCCCCCCTCTTTAAGGGTGACAACGTCGCTCTGAAAGATGCTTACTTCAGCCCAGCGATACCCATCAGAGCGCAATAAAGACGGAGGAGGGCGCTGGCTTTCACCACGTTTTCTTCTTTAAGCCCTGAACAGGTCGAGAGGCCGGATTCTGCGTCAGCTCCTGCTTCTTCCTTAATGCAGAGGCTGCGGGAAGCGGGGAGGATCCCCACCAGCTCCAGGAGCAGCTGTCGTCTCATCTGCCAAAGCACGGAGCCGATGCTCTCTCTCTTCCTCTAATGGGGACAAAGGGGACAAGAAACCTAGATACATCCCTAAGAAGCTGTAACACTCAGTAATCGTGGTTTGCTTCCCCTTAGTAATCATGGTTTGATATCCAACTACCTAAATCACAACGGAGGACAGGGTTAGACCCTAGGGTGTGAATCCCTGGCTTAAAGCAGGCACAGAAACCATGGTTAAGCACTGCATCAGAAACACATCAAGCTCTGCGGTTGAAGTTGTTTGCCCGCTTGTGTCAGTTCCTTGTGACACTCCCCCTATCCAAGCTCTCCCAGCTGAGTTCAACAAGCCAAACCACAATTTCTTTGTAGGCCTGGAATTGTAACCTGGGGTTGAAGCAACAAACCACAGTTAAAGCAAACCGCGGTTGAAGGCTCAGGCTAGGTCTGCGTAGTGGCATTTTGAAATATGTTCTTCTAATAAGACTGCTTCAGTTCTGTTCCTCTCCTCCTACTGCCTTTTAAAAACACAGATTTAACATATAGTCCCATTTAAAAATCAGTCTCAGTTGACTTGACAGCATGCAAATATTTCCATTATCGTTATTATTATATCGGACAGCCCCCCCCCCCCGCAGTTGGTGTTGTTCACAAACTATGCTCAGAAGAGTTCTCACCTGTTGTCCATTCCGGATAAAAGTCCCGAACCAAGTCCGAACTTTAGCATTGGTTCCAAGCAATAAGCCGCTTACAAAGCACACGAGGTCACTCACGGTGTCTTCGGAGGCCTCGTTCTTGGTGTGATCCAACGTCAAAGCCACCCCGAGCCCTGGCAAATGGCACTCTTCCACCTCGTCGGAGGAAAAGGAAATGGAAGAGGAGGAGGTAATGGTTGGGCTGCACGTCGGGAGACCCAAGTTTCTAGTCCTCGTTGTGACATGGAATCCAACGGGGTGACCTAGAGCCTGTCATTCTCTCTCAGTCTGGCCTGTCCCCAAAAGACTGAGAAGTAGCAAGCCATGTATGGCACCTTAAGCTCATTGAAGGATGAGGTATAAAATAAAGACTCATATAAAACATATATGTTCCTCCTTTCCTCGCCCCCGATGGAAACCAATCCTAGGAACCTGCCTGGCTCCAGCCCCTAAGGCCGCAAGAACCTAATAAAAATGACGCAGGTCCAAGAAACCAAGGTCCAGCCACAGCCACAGATGCTCCATGTGACCACCACCCCCTTCTCCACCCACCACCCCCTTTTTCAGCAAAAGGATGGGCACCGGGCTTACCACCATGCCACGCACTCTCAGGGCCTGGGAGGGGTTCATTTTGCACAGCTGGCGCAGAGCGTCCGTCCTCCGGCGGCCCCCAAAGCTTTCTTCGTCCTGCCGCTCACCGTTCTTGATCAAGCCCCTACACACTGGAAAGGGAGAGAGCGTCCACGGGCCCGTTCGTTCACGACATAGACACTGTGCTCAGCCATTGGACATGCTTATCATCATAATCTCAGAGCTGGAAGGAACATAGTTAAAAGTCCAGCCCAAGGCAAGGAGGCACCAAGGGGGAATCCAACTCCCAACGTCGGACTCCGCAGCCAGAGACCTAAACCATTGAGCCTAAAACAGTTCTTCCTTGTCTGGAAACCAATCTGAATGGTTAGGCTGCATCCGCATTTCCCAATTGTTTGCTTGGAGGGAAAACTCTCTCGTGCCCCATAAATAAAAAGCAATTTAAAAACACAGATGAGACCAAACTACGGCCATCCATAAAAGAGACTTCCAGCTTCTCCTTGGTATTCTGGCTCCCAGCTAATACTGTGATGTTCCACAGAGCCTCTGGTCTTTAAATCTGGCCCAAAGAACTGTCTTTAATCTATTCTGATGGAATGTGGAAATCACAAAAAAATGTCCAACTCATCCAACCTTCCCGATGCTCTCTGGGTGAATTTGCTATTTGTTAAGCTAGATACCTTCGTTAAAGCTGTCGGGAACGTTGGCCACTAAGAGACACAGGAACCAAGCCCCATTCTTCACGTGCAGTAAAGCTTCGGCCACATCGACAATCGGCAACAGCGAAGGAAGCTCTGAAAGGAAAGGATTTTATTTTTTAAAAAAGAAACTACATCCCTCACCAGTCTAACTTCATGGTTTTCCAAGTCAACCACATTATACGCTGGTTTGTTTGCTGATGAAAATTGAGCGTTTCTTCACGATGCAAATACTAGCTTTAGAAGGCAAACCTACCCAGTTTATATAATCCACACGCGTTAAAATTCCCATCCACTTGAAGGGATAAAATTAAGATAGGAAATTTTAGAAATAGCTCTGTTTTTTAACACACACACACACAGACACACACACACACACACACAAAAATTATGATTTTGCTTGGACTTCTAACTGAAATCCTGGAACAAAATCACACATTTGTGTGGATACAAGATGCACAAAGACACACTCTGGAGAGCAGGTTACCTGCTTGGAGGATGCATAGCACATCAGCGGCTTCTTCCAGATAAACAGGGCTCTCAAACAGCTCTGGCGACTTGAAAAAAAACTCACCGTTGGATTTAAAAAAAAAAAAAAAAGAAACTACATCCCTTACCAGTCTAACTTCATGGTTTTCCGAGTCAACCACATTATACGCTGGTTGTTTGCTGATGAAAATTGAGGGTTTCTTCCCGATGCAAATACTAGCTTTAGAAGGTAAACCTACCCAGTTTACATAATCCGCACGAGTTAAAATTCCCATCCACTTGAAGGGGCACAATTAAGATAGGAAATTTTAGAAATAGCTCTGTTTTTCATATGTGTGTGTGTGTGTGTGCGTGTGTGTGTGTGTGTGTTTAAATTATGATTTTGCTTGGACTTCTAACTGAAATCCTGGAACAAAATCACACATTTGTGTGGATACAAGATGCACAAAGACACACTCTGGAGAGCAGGTTACCTGCTTGGAGGATGCATAGCACATCAGCGGCTTCTTCCAGATAAACAGGGCTCTCAAACAGCTCTGGCGACTTGAAAAAAAACTCACCGTTGGAGTCGGCCACCTACAAGAAGAGGTTGTCTTAAAAGAGGATTTCCCCCAGAAGTTAAGAACAGAACACGAAAAGAGCACCCGTTGACTGATATGAGAAACAGGACTTAAAATAAGACTTTTTAAACTTCCTGTGATTTCTTGGGACTACAGATCCCAAAATTCCTGCAGGCAGAAGGATGGGTGGCCTTGGTGTCTGGGAGATTCTATGACTTGTGGCCACAAAAAGAGAGAACTTCCTTAGCTTTGCACTTTTAAAAAAATGATGAAGAGAGAACCTCAAACACAAGTGTTTAAGATGTTTTGGACTTCAGCTCCTGTCATCCCCAGCCAATACAGCTCATCGTCAGGAGAACTAGGAGCCGAGATCCAAAACATGGAGAGGATCAAATGTCAATCATCATCATCATAATCTTAGAACTGCAGAGCTGGAAGGGACCCTACACCACCATTGTGCACAACGAAACAAACCTCCCACCTTGGCAGTTCCCCACAGTGCTGGACTACATCTCCCAGCATGCTCAGCAGGCCACCAATCAGCCTCACTTGCTGGGGATGCTGGGGGTTGTGGTCCATTCTGCTAGGAAGGCTCCAGGGCAAGGAAAACGGGGTTTAGAAATTGGCCCATGTGTGTGTTTTTAGGGAGTCAGAGAGAAAGACCAGGGCTCACTTTGTTCATAATGGCCAGCAACTCGCTGAGCACGAGGCGGAGCCGCCGAGGGGAATCGCTGTGTTCGAACTCCAGGGTCAGGCCGTGCTGCAGCTGGGAGACCAGGATGCTCTCGCCGCTTCCTCCTCCAAGTTTATGCCTAAAGGAGAAGATGAGAGCAGAGCCGCTCAGAACACAGCACGCCCAAGCAGCCTGAGATGGGAAGAACCTTCGCGGATGGCCCTGCAGGGCGAAGACCTCAGATATCCAGGTCAAAAACCTTCGAGAACTCCACCAATCAGGGTCAACAACACTCGAACAGACGGGCTCACACTCTGATCCAGTATGAGACAGCTTCCTCGATCTCTGTTATTTCAAAATTCCGCAACGGCTTTTCACAAACATTACCCCAACTAAAACAGCCGTCCAGAATTGCTGCTAGCCCAGAAGTAGATCTCACGTTTTAGATGCCTGAAACATCTCGGGTTCCGTCCCGAGCACCTTTGGGCAACGCTGAAGCTGGCCGCTTGGGGTTTTCCCATTAACATTTTCCAAAATGTAAACAGCGTTCCAATTCTCAACCAGACCTCACTGGTTAAAAATATGGCATCGCTTTTAACGTGAGCCTGGCTCGCTGTGATTTGTTCTCACTTGGGTGAGGCCTACCTGGAGCCTTAAATCTTTGCCCCTACAGAGTTTCTGGGAATATTGAAACACTGTATTGGTGTTGCTTTTGTTTACCGTTTTCTAGGGTGGCATCTGTTTGATCCTTTTTAGTATCGTATACTGACCTTTTTCAGCTTCTAATATTGTCGTTCAATGACGCAAACTGCCTTGGGTCCTTTTTAAGGAGAAAGGCAGGGTAAAATAGTTTAAATCAATATAATAAAATAATGTGTGTCTTCTTATATTGAAAATTTGCCGTAAATGTCATCAAGTGGCTAGAGGGGAGATTATAATCATCATCATCATAGAACTGCAGAGCTGGAAGGGGCCCTATTGATCACTGAGGCCAGCCCTTGTCAAGATGAACCAATATGGGTATCTCTTCCAGGGCACCTTGAGGAAACTGTTTCTTCCAATATTCATGGAAGGAATAAATATTAAAATTAACCTGGAAGAAGACAAAGTCCTTCCACTTATTTTTGCAAACCAGACTAAAAATGAATGCATATAATACTTAACTGCATTCATCTGATATTTAATGTTCTCAGAACTATTATTCCTGTAATGATTAAACACTACCATGCCTTCCCTTTGCTCTATCACACTGTGTTTTTCTGCAAAAATCGCAACACCAACAAAAGGAAGAAATGTACCTGCCGCTATACTTCGCCATTACCTCAGCTGCTGCTCTTTGTTCGCATCCTGCTCCAAAGCATGAAAATCCACAGACAGCAAAGCGACGATGGAGTTGACAGCTTCCACTCCGGAAAGGAGGCGAAGAATGAGTTTTTTGTCCTGAGCCCAGCTTTGGCTCTGATCCGCCGGCGCACACAACGCCATGCGCACCAGGCAAGGGAGCAGGAGCCGGAGCTCCGGATCGCTCAAGGCTGCTAAACGCACAACGTCCACTTTTTGCATGGCCTCGAAGGCATACGGGCTGACGAACTGCAGGGCTGGGCAGTCCGCCATTTTTGTGAGGCGCAGTGGAAGTCAAAATAACGCAGTGGGTTTGAAGTGATGAGGGAGGCCCTCCGGATGCAGGCCGGCCGGCCAAGATCCCTCATTCCTCAGGACGGCTGCTCTGAAGCGGCTGGTACGCAGGGCATCCAACAGCCAGCAGCTTTATGACAGCACGACATCCCAAAGGTTGCAGACTGCTGAGGAAGGGCTGCACAAAAGAGAGAGAACAAATGTATTGCCGTTACTTCATCCTAAGAGATAAATAGGCAATTAATAAGATAAAATGAGCGGGGGGGGGGGGAAACCATTCACAGCCATATAGCGTGCTAGAGCCCTTTTTTCTTGATCCAAAAGTGCTACTAAAGTTAGGGAGGTAAAACCGTGAAGTGGCCTTTTCTTCTCTAAAGAAGCACTTTGCAGAATTCAAAAATCTTCTGCATTACCCTGATATAACCAGCAAAACAAAACAAAGACCATTTGTGTTGAGGTTTCTCCTGCCCACAATTCGGTTTCATGTGTATCTTTAAGGAGCGTGCTCCTCTTAAACACAGATCATCCGCTTCCTATTTATTTCAAACAATGTTTTCTACACCGCAGCTGGAATCCCGTTAGTGTTCGCCTATGGGCAAACTCGTCATATAAAAAAACGGCTGGCAACTAGTCAGGCAGCTAGCACAATTCACCACCATCTATTCTGTGATTTTATTCATGCATTGATGGATTTAGCTTCTTTTAACATTTTGCAACTTTAAATATTTAAGTTAAATAAGAACACTTATTTAACAATGTGACTTGAGGTCACAATAGGCAGGGCAGAATACAGTACAAATATTGCAAATTTAAGGTAGACTGTAAGTATTGCAACTAAATAAATTTGTACAGGAAAAAATGTACAGTATCTGGAAATGATCATTTGAAAATATACTTTCCCATGCTTTTGGACCATGAGTGCGAAAAGTATCCCTCAGGGTAGAGGCTGGGGGGGGGGAATCTAAGAAAAAACGCCGAGCTCTCCCATCGCTGAGCTATTAAAAGTGCCGAATTGGGGCCGAGCCCCCTTCCGAAGGCTCCTGGCCTCTGCCCGGCCCCTCTTGCTTCAGCCTGGCCGACCTCGCAGGGCTATTGTGAGGCTGAAAATGGAAGAGGCGGGTGGAGGGAGCAGCTCGGGAGAAAAAGCGGGAAACAGGAAGACCTCCTCGCGGGGAAGAGCCAAGCGAGGGCGGAAGAACAGCAGCCACAGAAAGGAGGGAAATAATTGAAATTAACACGAAGCTGAGGGAAGCTGGGGGGGGGAGAAGGGCGCGCGCAAGTGGCCCTCACAAAAGGACCCAGGCGTCCGAGCCTTCCTCTCTCTCTCCTCACTGCTAGACCAGAGAGGAGGGGAACCCAGGCGTCCGAGGCGCCCTCAGACCCACCACCACCACCTGGGACACGGAGGGGATCCCGCCCCCGCTCTCGCTCTCAGTATTTAAAACAAACCAACCCAAAATGGGAACATCTGCCTCTCAAAAAACACACACACAGAGAGCTCGGAAGGGAAGGAAATAGACGTAACACCGCCTTTCCGTCGCTCCGGCAGGGGGGGAGAGGGCGTCACTTCCGCCCGTATTGGCCGGTGCCGACAATGCGCTTCCGGCGCTGGCGGAAATGACGGTGTCAGACTTCCGGCGCCAGGCCGGAAGTGGCTGCCCCAGCCTCTCTTCCCTCTGGAGACCGGAAGGGAGGGGCGGAGGCGGCTTTTATCTTTCTCGCCTGCGACGCTCCGTTCCTAGCAGTGGAGGCCTTTCCATCATCCTCAATCTATATGCAGCACTGTTGAAAGTTATAATTAGAGCGAGGCAGATGGGTGTTGTTGGACTACGGCTCCCAGAATGCACTTGTAAAAAAAAACCCGAACAAATCTACATATTTATAGTTATGAAAAATGCTGCAGAATGTAGCTCGACAGTCTATAATATATATTTTAAATGTGCTATTTATGTTTTTGATCCTTTCAGTGTTTTAGTCTGTTAGCTTTATTTATTTATTTACATACAGCTTTACATACTGTTGTTTTACGTTGTGGCTAAAAATACTTAAATAACATTTTTTTTACGTTATGCCATTTGTTGTATCCATTTTATAGGCAACACAAGTATGTCTCCATCTACCGAGCAATCCCACTGAATTTATACATGGAAGCCATGCAATTAATGCAGTTAATATTACTCTTTGTTTCATGTGCACAAGATTACAGCACCCTTTACATTATTTTGGCCCCAAATCCACGTCTACATGATCAAGTACAATTGAGTCTATACATAATGAACACACAGAGGAATGTCTGCATAAGAAAGCACAGCTAATAATAATATACTGTATTATCTTATTATCTAATAATAAGATAGTGGTACAGATGGGAAACTCCTGGGGTGCTTTTATCTCTACCTACATGAGTGAGATAATTTCCAATAGTGAAAATTCATTTTTAAAATAATCATTGTGGTTGTGGTGCTATCAAGCCACCTCCAGCATATGCCCACCACCTTGAATTCACATGGTCTGAGCTGGTTTGTCAAGGGGGGGGCGGCGGCTTCTGTTCACAGGGGTGCCATGCGTTGCAAGGGACTTGATGCCACAGAACATGAAAAACAAGACGAACCAAAATTCAATCATGCAGGCCCTCTTTCCTATTCTACCTCCATTTCAGAACGGAGAAACCAAGGAAGTTGGACATTGCCCAGCTGTCGTGATCGGGCTTTTATGAGCTGCTTTCAGGTTTGTTATCTTACAAGATAAGGAAGGCTTAAAGTGCAGGAGTCCCTCGTGCCCAGGGAAAACTCCGAGGGAGATAAAGGTGCGGTCCAAGAACCCATGAAGGTCCATACTTGCATCCGACGGAGCAGCAGCGCCCACGTTCCAGCATCCACTCAGGCTACGAAGTTCCTGGGATCATCTGGGTCCCATCGTTGAGCCACCCTGTAAAACTACGAGTGAGTGTGTAACATCACAGTAACCGCTGTGTACAGTAAGTTGGACACGAGTGTAATAAAAATAAACCTGTTTCCAAAAAATGAGACATGTTTTAACTTTTTTTTAAAAAAAAAAAAGGCAGTTGGAGCTGCTGAGAACAAAGAAACACCACAAGAAAAGCTTCACAAATAATTTATTCCATTTTTTAAAAAAGTATAACCTTTTAAAAAAAAATTGACTTGAACACAATTTGCACAACTCCGTTGTATTTATTGCATTCTGCAAGAGTGTTTGTTCCGTATCTTTTTCTTTATCCTAATGTTAAATAGAGACTTGGACAATTAAATGTTTCCTACTGAAAATGAACTGAAGGCCACCTCCCTAAAGTGACCTGGCTTTAAAAAAAATGTTCAAATATTCAGTTGTAATGTCACAACTTCTTCCCCCCCCCCCAAGTAAGCTTTCTGACCAAAATTCTCAGCTCTATTTGACTTGAAGGGTCTATTTATTATACATTAAAACTTTTCTCCAAGTGTAACCCTGAGAAATTTATTTTCTCTCTCAATGTAAAATTTTTCTTTAGGAACAGATGCAGACAAAGGTACTGTCCGTATGTGACTTGGGTCCCTGCAGCATTTTAGATCCTGCTTTCTCAAGAGACACTAGTTTGTCTTCTCAAGAAATCATAAGAAGGCAACTAAGCAGCAAAATTTGCTGAACTGTGATACCAACTTGGTGGAAAGGAAAATCCTTCCTAAATCATGGCCACAGAAATGGTTAAACATTAACAGAACAAGACTGCCAGCCTGCAACAGGCTGAAAAACAAGTTCTGTTGGGATCATGCATGTTTTTGATCCTGCAAATTTCTCCTTAAACACATTTGCACATTCATGACATTAAAAAACCAATGCAAAACACACAGGCATATCTATGCATTAACACACCTGGTTATTTATGCCATATTGCTAAATGCACAATATGAGGTTTTTTTAAAGCATATTTAAATGTAGGGACAATGTAAGTCTTGATGCTGCAACTGCAACGCCAAATGATTTAATTACGCTCCCTCCTGATTCACTGAACCGTTACCCTCCCACCTTCTGATCCTCACTACGAAGTATGCACAATGGAATTGGCGCTAGTATATATGAAAAAACAAACTAACAGAAATTAGCCTAACAACGCAGATCTCCTGCCAAGATTCTTAGAACCCATAGCGGACACAACACCCCCCAAAAAAACTCCCAAAGAAAACAAAAAAATCATCAAGCAGAAGAAAGAAAGAGGAGAGGCTTTCTAGAGGTTCTGAGGAAACACCTTGTTTATTTGAATGAATGCTGGAAGAACTCAATGTGAAACTTGAAATTGTTTCTCTCTTTTTTGGCTCGAATTCTCCTGCTGCAAGAACGATATAGGCTCAGAATAGCATCCCTAGTGTCAATCCTGGTAGAGCAAACCCACACAAACCCACCAGGCAGTGATGCGATGCAATAAACTGCAGATCTCTTTTAATTCAATGGCTTTTTAAACCCTTGCACTTGGTTATGTTGCATTTGCTTAAAAAGAGGCCGATTTCAGAGGGAGGGGGGCTCCCTTTTTACCCAGAAAACCTTGCAAAAGCGTTTACAAAAGCCTAAGAAAGGTGGATCCATAGCTACACTTCTGCCTTGGTCTAGTAGGGACTTCTCCAGCAACACTGCAGAACTTTTACTGCCCATTTTTTTAATGATCAAAGTGCACTGCTTTCTGATTGACCTGCAGTTTTGATGACAACTCGAGAAGCCTTTATTGATGCACGTACAGTATTTCTGTTACACATTTGAGAGGATTTCCCAGAGCTGCGCTGAGTGCCCGTAGCTCCTACACTGTCCAATGTACGATTCAAGAGTCACTCCTTTTCCCAGGAACTGCAAACCTGCTTGGGTTCAAATGCCTCTGTACATCAATTCAGGCCGTGAGGGCTTCCCGGTTCGTGACTTGGCAAAGAAACCAGGCATTTCCTTCAGAGGATTCCAGATGCAATGGGCAGCAACACTAAGTGATCTAGGCGGCTACTCAGTACCCACACCTTACTTGTGGCCCAAAGAGCAGCAGTATTTGGGGGGGGGGAGGAGAGGGGGATGCAAGTCCATAGGCAATCTTTTGTCTTGAGCTTCTGATCCTTCGACAACCCTGGTTTGTTACTTCTGGCGAAATTTTAAAAGCACAAGAGGGCAAGCATGGCACTACAGCTGCTGGACTACGAATCCCATCATCCCCTCACCACTAGAAATTGCTTGGCTGAGACTGACAGGGGCTGCCGTCCAAGAACATGTGGAGGGGGAACGCAGGTTGCCCACCCCAAGGGCAAAGCTAAGCTCATTCAAGGATTAGCTTTGGTGACAGAACTAACTCTTCCCAAGGCCCGCACTTACCCCGCCGCCACAGGTGCCCGATGCCGCCCCCGCCATTGGTTCCGCCCCCGCGGAGGGCACCAGATACAACTCACCAACCACGTCCGGATTCAAGATCTGCAGGGGTCAACACAAAAACCTCGGGACGGCTCTTCCACGTGGAGACCTGAATCTAGTGGGGTGAAAGCAGCCGATATGGGGGGGTTGGAGGAGAGGAGATTGTGGTGCCCAAAGGGAAGCCAGGCGGTGCCTCAGGGCGGACGTGTCGAGGGCAGAAAGGACGGACAGACAGGGGAGTGGTTAGGGGAGCATCACCCGCCTTCTGAAGTCCTCTCCTTGGTGCTCTGTCATGCCAGAAACCTAGATAGTGATTGAAAAGGGAGGGGAGAGAACCATACAGGGAGGCTGGGACCTTCATCACGGAGTATCTCCCTCCCCCCCCCACATGCGCGTACAGAGATTAAAACAAGAGGTGTGAGGAGGGGAGAAGACGACAGTCCTCTTGTTGGGAGCACGAGGCCCACGTGGGCCTCAAGATGTTGCCGGAGAGCCATTCCCGGCAGGCCGTAAAGAACGCTGGGAGTTGCAGTCCCACAATCATCTTGGGAGTGCCAGGGCTTTGTCTGCACCAAATCCATAGAAATTGTTTAGGTCACCCTAAATAGATGCCCACTGTTCTTTAGAAAATCAAAACCAGCTGGGCTTTCTTTTCGCCCACGGTTACCGTTTCTGGCGCTCACCCCACACACGGGCTGAACATTCAGCCTCTGGAGGAGGAGAGAAGCTTGAAGAGGACCAGGACGTGCGGCTCCGACGTGAATCCCCAACTCACACGCCAAGAGGGTTCCACGGGGTCTTAGCGACGAACACAAAACTACTCCGAGATGAAAGTGACGCAGCTTTATTGAAGGGGGGAAAAGGGTATTTCTCTTTAAAAGTGTCGCGATTTCATCGGGGGACACAGATTCTCGCTTGACTAAAACGCACGCCTCGGAGGAGCGGGGTGAGGGCCCCTTGCGGCAGGCAGGCGGGCACCTCCTCCACCCTCGGAGGAACCAAAATAAACAAAACAAAACAATTTTAAAAAGAACACAAAACCCCACCCGGGGAAGAGGCCTGAGAAAGTTTGTCTCAGCCCTCCACAAAAATATCCCCCCCAAAAAAATAAAAATAAAAAAAATTAAAACAATTTATTATTATTTTTCTTTGTTTTAAATTCTCACTACAAGTTAAGCCACCTAACAATATCACTTTTTTTAATATATTGCCATTCTGTTAACTCTGCAAAGGTGTGATATAAAATTGCTGTAAGACCCGGTACCTTTTGTTTTGTTTTTTTTCTTCAATTTTTATATAAACACAGTGAACTTCATTACTGTACACGTATAATCTGCAACTACAGCTTAGCTGTAAATCTCCCACACACAATGGTATGGACATCTATATCCCACCCACCACCCACCTCCTATATTCCCCGTTAAACTGTACATCAAGACCAAATACAAATTTTACTGTTCCCAGGCCCCTCCCTGCCAACCCCTCCCTTACAAAAAAATAATACTCTAAAAGCAACCTACTGCAACGTTCAATTAAGACGATTACATATATATTTTAGACCAATTGCTTTAAAGCAAGAAGGCAGTATAAACCTTCTAGGAAAATTTTTTTTTATAAAAGAGGTTAAGAAATATAAGACAATTTATACATTTAAAAACTTACAATAAATAAGAGATGCAGGCATATTTTTTTTGTTTGTTTGTTTGAATACTAGGTACTATAATCCAATACAAGAACATTGCAGTGTTCCAAAAGCATTCGACAAGTTGGGTTTTTTTTTTCTTCCCTCCCCCGGTTCTCCCTCGTTCGTCTATCGTCGTCTCCATGCTTAGGTCTTTTCAAAACATCCGTTCAACATGGCTGGGGCCTATGGCTCATATACTCTTCACAAATACTGTGACGGGGCATGGAGTGGGGGCAGGGGGAGGGAAAGGAGCTACTCGGCTACTGAAAAAGAGGAATTATAATACATTTCAACAGACGTGTTCACCACCTTGATCAGTCTGGGGCAGGCAATGCATCAACGAAAAGAGGGGGGGAAAGAGAGGGGGGCTGAGCAGAGGGCGGGACTGCGCCCCACCGGTGGAAAAACCAAAACCACCACCCCCCCAATATTTTTTTTTTTTTTTGGAAATGATGAGGAACGAGACCACCACCCCATCACAAAATGACTCCTACAGAGAAGAATTAACTTAGTCCTGCAGTGAAAACTTTTGTTTCCCTTTGTTGTCGTCATCATCGTTGTGTGTTTGTGTGTGTGTATGTGTGGCTGTGGGGTTCTTTTCCTCTTCTTCTTGCTCAGTTCAGATAAAGATCACAGCATATTCATCATAAAGTTATACAACTGATTCAGCACCACAAAGTGAACTGGGAGACACGACCGCCGGTCCTGGGTCGCGGGATCACAGGTGAGCCAGGAGAGAGCATTGTACTGTTCCAACACGAACCTGGGATAACAGGGGGGAAAAAATAAGAAACAACCGTACAGAAAGCTGTTAAGGGAGGCTTCCCACCCACCCCCTCACCTCCATCTCCAAACAAAGACCTGCAACGCATCTTTGGACCGAGCAGATCAGCAGCAACTGAGGCCGAAAGACATCTCTTCCGCGCATGCTAAAAGCCAATGATAATGGCTGCATTTCTTTTCCCACCTCTGAGACTAAACCTGGCCCATCCTGCGCCCTCAGTCTTCTCTCTCTCTCTCTCTCTCTCACACACACACACACACACACACACACGCACACACACACACGCACACACACGACAAGTACCTGAGGACGTCAGAAGTCTGATTCGAATCAAGAGGGTGGGAGTGTTTGCTATGAAGGAGCTCGTCCGACTGCACTGAAGGCACATGGAGGTGCAAAGAAGCCTTTTAAAGACAAATGGGGAAAGGCAGTTCAATGGTTGCGTCCAAGCCTTCCCTTTTTCCAGATCGTAACAGGGGCTGCTCCTGGGAAAGCGGGTAGGCAGGGGCGAGCAGAACATGGAACTAAAACCAGCCCATAGTTGGGAGACAGCTACATTCTGCATCGGGCATCGTGATTTTTAGAGTTAGAAGCCCGAAAGGGAGGGATTCAGAATAAATCCAGGAAGCCGTTTAGGTGAGACTTGCTTGACTCCCCACCGGCGATCAGAACCACACCGGGTGGAGCAACAACACCGGGTCTTAGAGGAGGAGGGCCTGGATGCAAATCCTCCCTTGGTCATGAAACCGTCTGGGCCGGTGGCTGACCTTCCTTTCCAGAGTTGCAGGTGAGGGTAAAAGTGGGGAGGAAGACAGCCATAGAGGCCGCTTTCAGCTCAGCTTGCTGGAGGAACAGGCAGCACAAAAGTGTGAACTACTGTAATCAAGAACCCCATGGCCTGGCCCAACCGTGGCGGGCAGCTGCCATCAGGAGGTTCACAGACAACAGCTGCTGCCCGCACCCTGAGGCACTCCTGGAAAGGATGCCTGTAAAATTAGTCTGTGGCCCCAGGCCCAAATCCACCACCCCACCAATCTCCCCTGGATCCTACCTACACCTGCTGCTTCATGGAGCAGGTCCCTTTTCCCTCCCCTTTGAAGGAAAGAAGTGGGTGACACAGCAAACGCCCTCCTGGCTTCCCAGGTTCCCGATCTGGCGTGCCTGACAAGATGCTCGCCGAGGGCTGAGAGCCCCAAACGAAGACAGGGGACTCTCTGAAGCACGCCCGCGCGGCACCACCCCCTCCCTAGTTGAAGCATGCGGCCCCGCTCCGTCGGTCACGTTACCTTAAGAAACAGCGGGCACTGATTTTGTGCTTGGGGACAGGCCGACCAAAACCAGTCAGGCAAGGGACCTGCTTTGGCAGTTGAGACGAAGTAGCCGAGGGCCAGTGGCTGCTGCAGGATGTTCGTGACTTCGTCGTGAGACTCGGTCGAGAGCAATCGGTCTGTTCCTTGACCCTGGGGAGACACGGAGGGGGGTGTTGGTTAAATGAAAGGCCCCTCTCACGAGTCCACCACCTTGTCTCGTTGTGGGAAAGCCAGCCAAACGCCCTCCCCACTGGAAGTCAAGCACCAGGACGCCATTGGGCCCACTGCCGACCCAGTAACGGAATCTGCTTCCCTGGAACAGCGATGACTACAGAGCCATAACTCCCTCGGGTCCTGGATCCGACCGCCATGGCTAGTGGCCACCGGCGGCCCGATCCCTCTACAATTTGGCCAACTAGAGCCACCTGGGTTGACGTCCAATCGTCAAATATGGTAGCTGCCATTCTATTGTTCTAACCACACGCTATGAAAATGAATTAATAGTTTTACCTTATCCTGAAATTGGCATCATTGTGCTTCAAGGGATGGTTCTGGATCCAGGTATTAGGAAAGTGACACCGGGGGTGGGGGGGTGCTGGCTGCCCATGTTCTCTCTATCATGTATAGCTATATCTCGCTCTATCGTGTCACGACTTATCTATCTCCTTTTTAAAAATAACTAAAAAGCCCCAGGTATGAGTATGAAAGTATACCGGTTGGCAAGGACACACCCCACACTTACTATTTTTAATTCCAACACCCAGAGCACTGATTGCAAAATAAAGGCACCATTTGAATACCCACGCACCAGTGCAAACCTATTTAAACAGCAAGGGGGCTTGACCATTGCAGACGTTCAACTGATGAGACCGGCACCGTGGTAAACATAGCAGAGCTATTTTTTAAAAAATATATATTATTAAAGAAACCAGCACCCTGCTGGGAGGTTTTTACCTTGCCCATGTCACCTCCATGAGTGAAGTGGGAGCTCGGTGAATGCACCGGGGAGCCCGTCGGGGACGCAGGAAGGATGTTGATGATATCTGGGTCGAGATCATCTCCAGGTTCTAAGAGATCAAAGATTCCCATTCCATCTGCTCCGTCTTGAGGGGGGGCAGGAAGAGCCACAGAAAGAAAAAGGAACCATTAGACCAACATGTCTATGTTTTGACAAATCGATCAAGAGGTGAGCGGGGTTGGCCAGAACCCTACTAGCTTTGTCTACTGGCATAATACAAGGGGCATAAATCTCACTGGTGAACTGCCGCAAGTTAAGAAGTCATTATATTGTTTACTACTGTCTTCCGGGTCACACACCTCAGCGCCTGCAGCAAGAACCTCCGCGAACGTCCTAACTTGCAGCAAATTCAGCAACAAGAGGTACACCGATAGCTTTGTGCTGGCATAAAATCTCAAGAGGTGTTTGGCCAACAGATAAAGAAAATTCATGATGAGAGGTGGCCTCTTCCCAATCAAAGCTCCCATCATCCTTTGCCACTGGCCGTGCTAGCGCTGGGTGATGGGAAATGTATTCCCAAAGATCTGAAAGGCACCACACTGAGGTATATGTGAGTGCTGGGCTTGAAACCCAGAGCCCCAGGCAGCTATGGAATTCAGAAAGCAGCACAGCAAAGACAGCTGGCCCGTCATTTCCCTGCTAGCCCTAAAGAATGTATGAATAAGAACAAGCTAGAGCAGAGGAAGAGAGAGCGGCTTGCGCCTCCTTCTAACAATCTGCTCTCCAGCTCATTTCATCGTTTGCTACTGACTGCCACTAAACATGCATCTGAGGCTTTGCACACAGGACTGGCTGCTGTCTGTTTTTTTGCCACCTGGCCTGTAATTACTGGTTGGGAGCTCCTGGACTGCTCCCAAACATTCCAACTGCAGCTGGTGTGAGGCCAAACCATGAAAAGCAGAAACACCGCCCAGGTGATGTGAAACAAGGTCACTCTAGCTGCACTGAAGCCTCCTGGACGAGAATCCAGAGGCAAGAGGGACCGGGGGTGGGGGGTGGGGGGAGAGAGAGGACCAGAGTGGGCAACTGGGGTGGGTGAGTCGGTCAGGTGTGCCAGACACAATAGGGAAGAGGCACAGACGGGAAGGCCTGACATGGGGACAAGCGGAAAACACAGTCTCGGTGTCTTGCCGGGAGAAATCCCACCACCACCACCAATTCAATGATCGCAGCCAAATCTTAAACTGCAAATAGCTTTTATATCTATTTTTATATCTATTATATTTTCAACCAAGGCATTTACAAAGACACCCATGCACACAAAACCCATACACACACGCACACAAACCGTTGTTCGTATTAAAGGCCAGTTCCAAACCGGTTTCGGTGGTGTAGGTGGATGACGCCACTTGCACCGAGGCGGAGGTGGGGAACACCAGGATGTGGGTGCAGGACGTATCCTGCGGGGTGTTCAGCTGAGAGGTCTGCATGTTCAGAGTGGTGCTGCGCCCAAACACGGAGCCGGTCGATACCGAATCTTTCCAGAGAAGACAGAGAGAGAGAGAGATAGAGAGATAAAAATGGGTTCCTCTGAGTTTCAGCGAGAGAGAGAGAGAGAGAGAGAGATAAAAGTGGGTTCCTCTGAGTTTCAGCACTGCCGAGACTCCCTTCCACAGGAGCCACAAAAGTGACACTCAGGAGGTCTTGGTTGGCCTTACCTGGCATGATGATAAACGACCCCTGTGGCTCCATGGCCACTAAGCAAGCACTGAGGATGCTGGGCGAATCGGCGGCGGAGATGCCACACATGCGGCACATGTCCTTCAGCCTTTTGCTGAGAGACTGCAGGTTCCGGCGGCTCAGCAAGCAGCTCCAGTCTGGAGAGAGACAGAGACACCAAAGGTGGGCTCCCTGGGAAGCCCCTTCTCCCTCCTTCCAGTGCTGCGAGAGGGCGTTTTCACCCCCCCCACTATCCTGTTTTGTAGTAGAATCCACATCAAAGGATGGCCTGCAAAGCAGGCGCCCCAACAGTACCTTCTTACCTGAAGGCTCCCAAGTTTCAACCGCTTGCCATCGACGATAAATAAAAGACCCAACCCAAAAAGTATTCGAACATATATACTGATTTTTGCAATTGGGGTGTTTCTTTTATTCTAGCCCAAAGAGACACGAGCCTGGTCAGGTATTAAGATCAACAGGCCTTTCTCTCCATCTCGCTACCTTCCCAGGTGCCTTTGGTGGGGACACACAGGAGAGGGCCTTCTCTGTGGCTGCTCCCAGAGACTCTGGAACTCCCTCCCACTGGAGGCCAGGCTGGCCCCCTCTTTACTCTCCTTCTGCAAGCAGGCCAAGAGCTTCATCTTAAGGCAACCTATCCCTGCCTGACTGGGATTTTTTTAATGGACTGTTGTGCCTTAGTGTGGTATTTGTTTGATTATTTTTATAATCGCTGTTGTTAGCTTTAATATTGTCATTTCCTTGTTGTAAGCTGCCTCGAGTCCTTTTAAGGAGAAAGGTCAGGCAGCAGAAGGACTCCCTGACACTCAAGCAAAAATATTTTAAATAAATAAAATATTCAGGCAGCAGAAGGACTCCCTGACACTCGATTTCCATTTGTTCCACGAACCAAGAGGGGCAGCAACAAAAATGTTGCCCTCGTGCTGGCAGCTGGATGGATGGATGGCCTTGTTCAGGACGGTAAGCAAAATACCCAACAGGCCTGGGAAGAACAGCGGACGTGTACATTCAACCCTAACCCTCTCACACACCGACCCTCCTGCACACCGCCAAGAGGTCAGAATGATTCTTGGGGCCTGGCACGTTTCAGGCACAAGGGTTCACATGCCCTCCTTCACCTGACACCGATACACTGCTGATACACATGGCAGTGGTCACTGGGGCCTCAGCCTGGAGAAAAGGGGGCTTCTACTCCTCAAATGGCTGCCTGCCATAGAATTGGGAAGAGTCCGATTGTAAACTATTCTGGTACACCTTCCACCTTCTCACAGCAGAAGGATCACACTTAAGAGAGTCCTCACATTTCAGCACATTGAGGCATTAGGTTGAAGAGAAAGGGAGATCATACTGATACGTTGCATTATCGGCTGTATTCAACCCTTCCTTGAAACAGTACCACATCTTCCCAAGCAAGAAGGCTTGGGCAAAAGCTCCTGAGATGGATTTTATGATTTAATTTCTATTTATTCAACTTGTATACCACCCAACTGGCTACAAGGCCACTCTGGGCAGTTCAGGACGCAACAAAAGAATGTCACATTTTTTAAAATAAACAAATAAATACATTTTTTTTTTCCTGATTACCTTTCAGTTCCCCGTGACCGATTCTTCCAAGGCGTCCGATAACAACCCGCCACGGCAGGGAACTCATCTGAACGAGCCCCAGGCACCACTCCCACAGCTTCTGGAGGCCCAGTCTGCGGGCAGATCCCTTTTTCCGACGGGCCCTGAAAGAGACAAAAGGTTCGCGTGCCACCTCTTTTCGGGGTCCTCATCCCACAGAAGAGTTTGGCACCACTGCTCTTGATGTTCTGAAAATCAGACTCCAGGGCTTCGCAGGGAAGGTTCCATATACATCCAAAGATGCATAATCTAAATCTCTGTTTGCTTTATTACTTAATCAGAAACCTCTAACCCATTTCTTCAAACATTTCCTAAGCTAAAGAATTAAGAACAGCAACAGCAAAGCAATTAAAATCAACCACATACTGAACACATACTGAACCAAGCACTGGCAGAAACACACTACCGTGTTTCCCTGAAAATAAGACAGTGTCTTATATTAATTTTTGCTCCAAAAAACACATTTGGGCTTATTTTCAGGGAATGTTTTATTTTTTCATGTATAACGATCTACATGTATTCAAATATTATCATGTCATCTTCTGGTTGCTGCACAAGGGTGGAGGGCGGGGTTTCACTCAACTAGGGCTTATTTTTGGGGTAGGGCTTATATTACAAGCCTCCTGAAAAATCATACTAGGGTTTATTTTCAGGTTAGGTCTTATTTTGGGGGGAAAGGGTACAAGTATATAATAAGGAGGTTTCTGAAAGCAATTTTTGGAAGCATTTCTAAAAAATCGGAAGGCATGTGACAGAGGATAAAATTCTACGGTCATTATTTATCTTTTTTTCTTTTAAACCTCATTCTTCATTTAAACTGGCTCTCAGAGCAGCTTATGAAAGTAACAGACACACCTGCCATCCGGCTAGTGACATGAAAGAAACAGCAGGAAAGGAAATACGAATGAGGAGGGAAGAGGAAAACAAAATAATTCACCTGTTTGGGACATCAATGTTAATGATGCATGTTTCCAAGAGTTCTCCGTACAGATCCGTGCAGGAGGCAAGGAGCCACTTTTGATCGTGGGAAAGGCAATAACCCACAAAAAGCACATTGTATTTCTGTCCAGCCTCTCCAAACGTTTCGCCAAGCTCTGTCTGTTTATCTTTGACAGGAGCCAAGATGAAAGGAGGGGCGTACAGCTTGATACACTCCGGTCTCTACAAAAGAGAAACATGGGAGGACAAAAGAATTAAAACTCTGGAGTCCTTGAGAGACAACGTAACTCTCTCTCTTATACATACACACACCGTGTGTAAACATCATTTTGGTTCTCGGCAAAGCGCACCAACCTTCACTACCAATTCCTCGCGCCAACTAAGTCAGGCACAAGGAAGGGGAAGGGCTGACTACAGGTAGGTGGGTGGATGAATAAAGCAATCCGAAATTTATGGCATAAATGCAGCTCCCACGCTTTGGGGCTAAGGCCAGTGCTAAATCCGACCCCAAAAGACCCACTGAATCAGCAGGACGTCCCTGACTTAAGCTCCATTCATTCAGTGGATCTACTCTGATGTTGCTGCCAGGAGCTAGGAATTCACATCTGCATTCTGCTGGCCAAAATGGGGCTTTCAAGGCATCTGAGGTAGTTAAGGGGCGATTCCACCAGTGCTGCTACTCCATCACACACACACACACACCCTGCACAAATCCTCCCAGCCACATAGAGATTTGAACCCCGGTCTCCTGAGTCTGGCACCCTATCCTTTGCAACACACAGTATTCCTCTGGTTAATGCAGTGAGAACCTGAGTAGGACGTAAACTCTCCTCCACAGGGACAGGGGAGGAGAAACATGCCACCTTCTCTTCCCCGAGCTACAGGCCAAGCGTCAGAGGGAGGCTGGGTGTCCTCCTGGTTAAGAGAGCAAAGGACAACGGCTCCAGCAAGACAGATCGCGGGCAGCTGAGGGTGTGTCAGCCTGCATGCCTCTGTCTGATAGATCTCATTCTGCAGGACTGAGAGATTGATTGATTTGGTAAAAAGGCTGGAAAAAAAATGTGACAGCAAAACCTGATTTTCATCTCTGCCCACCGCCAAGCACAGGAAGGCTAAAACTACAGGCTGTCTCAGTGATTTTGATCTATGGAATTCCAGCTGGCGTTTATTTGCTCTCTTTGGTGTTTGTTCTGTGACGGCTGAACGGATACGTACAAATGAAATTTCTTAGGGGGATGTGGCTCAGACCGCAACCCGCATTCCATGTGCCCGTTTTACGACGGCCTGCCTGTCGCAATACTCACGTCAGGACTTTTGAGGGCCATTTCCATGGCTAGGCCAGGGCCGAACCCTGTCAACGTTTTCACATTGGTTGACGTCGGGAGAGGCCTTCGGCACTGCGTGAAGGCGGAGAAGGCCAGAGACTTCAGGTGCTGAGTGTAGATCTGACGGTCTTCGTTCTTGACAGGTTGCAACAGGTACTGACAAGGGACAAGCTAAGAGGGCCAGAGAGAGAGAGAGACGTTCTGTGTTAACCGATGCATTAGAGCAGCTGTGCACATAAGTAGTGTTAAACGGGAAGGTGCCAAGGAATTTGGAAAAGGATTCCAGTTTGCTTGTTTTTCCCAGAAAGCTATAGGAAAACGAGTGCCCTACGCAAAAAGAAGAGGAGGGATCACCCGCCAACAGAAGAGGGCCTCTAAGAAGTCCCATGCCAGCGGGCGTTGTCCCGCATACAGTTAGCCCTAGGCGTGCATGGGAGGGGCAAGATGAAATCTAAAGAGATGAACCCTTTGATACTGGCAAGGCAAAAATACTCAAAAAAAAAAAAAAACCAACCAAATTTCACTCATTGTATCCTGAAAGCAAAACAGGCTTTGGATGGAAAGTCATAAAACGAAAGGGCAAGGGAAATTGTAAATTATTTCAGAAGTATTTTTCCTGTACTCCAAATTGTTTTACATTCTTTTAATGTGACAACATGCATTATGCTCCCCTCCTGAGAGCTGTCAAGATAAGGAGGGTTGGAAATCCTTTTTTAAAAGTGCGGCCCTTCTAATGTTGCTGGGCGACAACTTCCATGAACTGTGACCACTAGTTCAGCACCGCCTGGGGCTGATGGGAGCTGGAATCCAAGAGAATCCAGAGAGGCATGGATGATCCGCCCCTGCCTTAATGGATCTCCCCAAACTGCTAGAATGAGGTGGATTCTGGCCACCAGAAGGCAGCGAGACCCACAGATGCTGCATAAACAGGGCGGGTGCCAGCCTAGGGCCGGCTCTGTGAAGGTCCAGGTAGCGGTTTGCTCACCTGAACAGAAACAATGTTCCTGATGTGAGGAGGGAGGCTCTGGATCATTTCGAGAAAGCAACGGAGAAGACCCAGGGTCCACACGTTGGAGGAGCTGCCTTCGTCTTTCTTCTCGTACGTAAACGGGTCGACAATGTAAACCACGATGGCGGGCGGGTAGGTGACCGCGTGCGAATCGCCGTCGGTGGGGACCCCCACTTTATCACGGTCCATCGTGCTGCAGGCGGGAATGCAGAGGAGAGACGAAGGTGTGGTGAGGCCCAGAGACGTTTCTGTCTCATACCCGGCAAAGCCGGCACAAGGACAACAGGATGAAGCCAGAACGTCTCTGGCATTCTGTGCGGCCAGGCGGCCCCTTTCCACCAAGAATAGTGCTCAGTGACACTTTTTTCACCTAAGAGGTTCCTTCCCAAATCCCCTGGTGCAGGGAATTTGCCCCCCCCCCACAACAGGCATCAACATATACTGGCTTCTGCTTTTCTTTTGGCATCTGGGGTAGACCACTTCCAGAGAGTTGGACGTGCCCATGCCCTGAATCTTTCCCTTTTTAAAAAAAAAAAAAACACAAGAAAATATATACTGGAAATGACCCCTCACACACTCAAAGGAGCACCACGAGGCCTATTTTTCAGCCCTCCTGAACTGTTTAGCTCCAGGCGGGAACATCATCCTCCATAAAAACCAGAAATGTTCAGAGGTCATTGCAGTTCTATGTTGCTACTTCTATAATTTTCATTATAGGCAATGAAACCACTTTATCATTATTATTTCTTCTTCCTCATTATGTATGTGGCCCTCTGCACAAATACACACTCTCTACTCTGAGGAGTTACAACCTAAAATTTGACGCGGGGGGGGAGGGGATGGGGACCCTAGAACAAAACTGAAGGATCGGGAAGGGTTTCAGTAACACATGCACCGACTCTTACCAGGGCAAACACCCCTTTAAAACCTGGGAACTGGGGGGGAGGGGCGCTAAAGGGGAAGCAAAACCAATCACACGACAGGCTCAACAGCCCCTTGAGTTAGAGGAGCTTCAAGGGCAGAATCGTCTTGCCTCTTTCTGTGCACAAATAACACTCCACTGTAGATGCAGCTGAGCTTTTACCAAGCTTGTACAAAGAGGTACCCAGTATCTCCTCGTGCAAACACAACCCTACTGGAATCAGCGGGGAGGGTTCCCAGCTTGAGCAACGGCAAGCCAGAAACTGCGAGGGCTCTGCCTGCAAAAAGACACAAGGCTTGCTTGAAATCCGAATGAAATCCAGACATTTGGGTTAAAATCTTTTAAGGATGGGACTTTGGTGTTTCCCAACCCCCCACAATTCACTGGGAACGCTGCAGGCCAAACTATGGGAGGGAAAGCCCCACAGCAGCATGAGGCACAGCTGCTATCTACCTGCCCTCGATTCTCTCGCCGTTCCTCCAGGTGGTGAGGGGGAAAGTGCCTTGTTAAGACTGCAGGAATTATTAGGTTCCCCAAGATTTGCAAAACCCCATTTGGGGGGGGGGCAAGTTCTGACAGCGGCTCCCTCCATAAATTCAGTATGGGTGGACCTTGGTTTAGTTCCCAAACAGAGTTTGGAGACAGAAAAGGGGACAAGGGCAGCCCTCAAACCCTCCACGGATGCCCGCTCGTGAAATAACCCCCCTGCCACGTTACCTCTCCGAAACCTCCGGATGCGGCTGTGTGGGGGGAGGAGGAGGAGCTTCCCCCGGCATCCCAGCCGCCTGCTGCGGCTGCGCCCCCACCTGCCCGTTTGGGACTGCTGCGGACGGCGCGACGAGGGAGGAGGACGCAGCGCTGTTCATGCTGCCAAAAGGTGGGAACGAAGACGGTTTGCTGGAGGACATTCCACCGCCCGTGCCCGAGGAGGAAGAGGAAGAGGAGGACGATGAAGCGGCCGTCGTGGTCAGTGTGACGTTGGCAGTGGTGGCAGCCGAAGTGATGGCGGTGCCGGAGGTCATCACAGCAGCATTGCTGCCGCCAGATGACGGGGTGGACGACGGGGTGGAGTTGCCTGCAACCTGAGGTTGGGTGGATGAGGCAGGATGGCTGGCGGGGGGGACGAGGCTCGACTGAGAAAGCAGGGAATTGTCCAACGGCTGGGTCGCAAGATAAGGACCTTTGGGAGGAGGAGGAGGAGAAGCCGTAAGAAAAAAATCATTTCCTTAAGTCAATCTAATCTTAAGGGACACTGTTTTCATTTCTTTGGACCGGAGGCAAGCGGTTCTGGAGGCTCTCCTACACACACGACGTGCACAACAGATTCAAAGCAGGCCACCCCACTCTCCCCAGTGGAATCCAGAGATGGCCAAAACTCCCCTTTCATTTCCCAAAGAACTTTTTCGGAAACTTTATTTGCAAAAGAACAAGACACATGGGCTATACTTCAAGGAAAGATGCTTCCCAGGGAGCAATTCTGTAGGTTTCAGCCTGCTGCCTCCTGATTTAGACGGAGAACCCACCCAATGGGAGGTACCTTGAATGGTGTTTTTTTTGGGGGGGGGGAAGACGGACAAAAGAGAAGACACACCACCTCCGTGGTGGAAACATCCTTGTTCCATAAAAGGTACAGGTGGAACAGGATGCGGAGTGTTTGTGAAGTCATCTTCTCAGTTTTGACAGAGCAAGAGCACAGAGCTGGCGTACCACTCACAAATGGACTGTCCAATTCCCGAAAAACCCAACCCACATAACTCCGGGAAGGCTGTGGAAAAGTCCACAGTCCTCTCACTGGGAAAATTCATGTGGAAAGAGTCACCGACCACCAAGTGATGAACTGTTTGCAAGGGAAAGTTGGAAGTTAAAGGACTGCTAAAGCTCTGAAACAGACACTCTTTCAAATTTATTTTCTATTCATTTACGAACTTTTGGGAACGATGAGGCAAGATTAACTTCCCAGCCCTCACCGTTGCACAGAAGGTTTGGGGCATGGGGTGGGGGATGTCGTTTTCAGTGTCTTCATCTAACTCACACAATCTAACTTGTACCACAGAAGGAAACCTCTTCAGAACAAACAAATCATGGGGCGTGAACTCAGATGGGGACCTTGAGAGCCAAGGGCATGATTGGAGTTTGTCAGGGTCACCAAGCCTTCAAAACTGGCCTAAACCCTATTGATAGTCCAAAGCAGATCCAATCCAACCGTTTGCTCAATGGTGCGCCACCACTTACATAAATTCCAAGGACTCAAATGGGGCTCCTCGAGTTAGGATGAGTAGCCACATCCTCGGTTCTAAGCATGCGTGTAATCCATTTACCACAGTGAAACGTCCTTAGAAGCGCCAGGTTTAGGAAGGGCGAGCAGGACGAAGACACCCGTACCTAAATCGTATCTGCAGACCTGGGCGTACAGCTTGAGCCTAGAAAAGGATTCGTTGTTGGCGTGCGCTGCCTGAGAGAACCACTCCGCCACCGACTTGTCAGAGAGCTTGTTCGACGCCGCGGAGCCGACTCTCATTATGCCGTCAGGCAAGAGTTTACAGATGGGCCGATGCTGACCAAGCCGGCAGGACTGCGAAGGGAGAGAGGGAGAGAGGGGAAGAGAACAAACAGAGAGAAAATTTTAATTACCTTTTTTATTATAATACTTGTTCAATTCTTTTGGAATGTTTGTATACTTGTGTTAGGGGGAGAGAGAGAGAGAGAGAGAGGAACAGAACAAACAGAGAGAAATTTTTAATTACCGTTTTTATTATAATACTTGTTCAGTTCTTTTGGAATGTTTATATACTTGTGGTTTTTTTAGCTTTTAAATTGCGACTTTTTGATGATATAAGCTGCGCCCTGGGTCCTTTTGCAAAAAGGCAGCGTAAAATATTCTGAGTGAATGAATGAATGAATAACAAAACAAAACACCAGTGCCCAACTGTTTGATGTGACCGTTGCAGGACACAAACCAAGCTTCATTAGAATAGTGCGCCATTCTAATGGAGAGTTTAAGGGTGACCCATAACTGGCATTAACAAGTTCTTATTTCCTTTCTGTGAGAACTGACATAACTTACTTACATTACAATTTATAATGCAACTAGGGATAAACAACATACTTTACACTGTAAAGCTAATTCTCAACCCTCCAAATCTTACACATTTGACAAGTCGTGCTATGAAAGCCCTGGGTCCTAACCAAGAAACAAAAAGGCCGCTTTCCCCCTAAGAGACACGCTTTTATGTTTACAGGCACCCTGGTCTTCCACTTAACCATCAGTGGTACAGTTTAAGGAGATGCTAGGAGAAAAGCTGAATGAACAAAAATAATGATTCCATTAGCAGCTTGAAGACTATAATAATACTTATAGACTATAACTATTAACAAGCACTACTAATTCCTAAACACAACTTGTATTGCTTTCATAAGGGTAAACGAAGAAAGATAATCCATTTGACCATGCAACTGTGTTAACTGGGAGTAAGTGTATATAAAAATCCTCACGCCCCACACAGATTACCTTTGGGCCACTCCCGGCTTATGGGTCCCAAGGTTCTGCAACAAAGGGGAGAGAGAGCCAGTATCTTGGAGTCCAAGGCTAAAACAACCTCACTGAGGAGAACAGAAGTTCACCATCTAGTCTTGCAAGATTTTCCACCCTAATGCAGGAAGGCAGTACATAATTTAACCACCTGATGGCATCTACATGATAAAAGGAGCTGCTTCCTAAGTGAAATCTTGCTAAATGTGAGGAGCCTTTTTATCTCTTTCTACCATCCATTTTGGTTGTTTTGTAGAGATAAGATCTCAGCAGGAGTTCTGGGTGTCAGCTGGAAAGGCAATATTGAAAAATGGTCTCAATTAAGAAAAGGAAAAATGCAGTCTGGAGGACTATTCCTAGCACTGGCCTTCCCTTCCCTTCCCACGGTCCCTCCCCCACAGCCCCTACCCCCTGCTTGTCTGAGCTACTGCGAACGCTCCTCACCTCATATATTGCAGTGAGATCCCGGAAGAAAGTCTTCGCTCCATTCAGGAGCGCTTCGTTCTCTGGACACACCACAACGTAAGCGATATCTCTCTGAGACCCGTAGGGTTCCAACATCAGCCTCTCCCAGTATGGTAAGGCAAAGGGGGACAGCACCAGGAAGTCGTAATCATATCCCAACAAAAAGGTCGGAATGGGCAGTGGTTCTGGAGACTCATCCGTTCCTAGAGGAAAGGGGGGGGTTCCCCCCCAGAAAGATATTAGGAAGAAACTAGAATATAGCACAGTATTCACTTCACTGAATGCCAGCATTATTTAATCCTCAAGCCTCTCTCAATGCTGCCCTCAAAATGCAAGGGGCATCAGCAGCAACCAACCGTGGGAGCGCTTGTCCTGACAGAGGCTGTGTGGTGGGCTGGAAAATTTGGGTTTGAATCCAAATTTCTCATTCAGAACCTGAGAGTAACATACAGAGGCCTTGATAAGGAGGGAAAAATATCTTAAACCTTCTAAAAACATTACAACTTGGATGCCAAACCCCGTTTCCCTATTGGTAAAACGAAGGGATCAAATCAAGCCTGAGTTCTCTCTGGAAGCAAAAACAATGAAGCTGACGGTGTCCTGCTTTGGGCCCATAATGTGAAGGCAGGATTTTCTGGAAAAGGCCATCATGCTGGGAAAGGTGGAAGGCAGCAGGAAAAGAGGGAGATCCCATATGAGATGGACAGACTCCCTCAAGGAAGCCACAGGCTTGTGTTTGCAAGAGCTGAGCAGGGGGGCTGAGGACCAGCTGTTTTAGAGGCTGCTCCTTCATGAGGTCGCCGTACATCGGGGCGACTTGATGGCACATCACCACCAGAAAAGAGACAGCTTAAAACATCCCCCCCTCCACTGTTGTCCCCGGATCCCCCCATCACTGAATAGAAGAAAAACATGACTGTTTCAACAGGAGAGCAAAAAAGAAAGGACGGGTCTGGCCAGATTTACCATAAGAGCCTCGGCCGGCCATTTTGTGAAACTGCTGCCAGGTGAGAGGGCCCTGCACGCCCCAGGAGCGAACGGTTCGTTTCTTCTGAATGGCGTCCTGAAGGACAGGCTGGAGGGACAGCAGCATGCGGAGGATGTCCTGGGAACACTGCGTGCTCACGTCTACAACTGAAAGCAGCCAGAGTTAGTTCAAAGGAGTGGCCGTCGCATCGCTTATATTGATGGCCCTGGTGATAAACCCAGAGCCCTTTCTAGTGGAGGAATTAACTGGTCAGTTAAAGGCACACAATTAAGAACTGCTCAATGGTTGACCATGTCACAGAGAAAACAACTGGCCTGTTGCTTAAAGAATAATTTTAAAAAAACCTTAATGCGTCATCCTTACAGTAACATCCTTCCCCTCAACATCTCCAGGAAAACTTAAGAAAACAACCCAACAGGTATCCTTAAGTTCAGGGCAAAAGGGTGGCCGTTAAAGGCACACAATTAAGAACTGCTCAAATAGTTGACCATGACACAGAGAAAACAAGATGCCTGTTGCTTAAAGAATAAAAAAAAAACCTTAATGTGACATCGTTACAATAACATCCTTCCCCTCAAGATCTCTAGGAAAACTTAAGAAAACAGCCCAACAGGTATCCTGAAGTTCAGGGCAAAACGGTGGCTGGGCCAACCAGTGGAAAAGTTTCACTGATTTCAATCCTTCTGTTTTGTAAATGGGCAGAGTACTTCTTGATGAACCAGTGGAAAAGTTTCACTGATTTCAATTCCTACTATTTTGTAAATAGGCAGAGTACTTCTTGATGGTGGGAGATGGGGCATTTTTGGGGGGAGTCCTGAGGCTGACCTGGGGGGGGGAACCAGTGTGGGAGGCTCCATTTTTCCGTGTCTGTTTTGTTTTCTACCCCAGTTTTTTTACTCCTGGGTACAATGGGAGGGAAGAAACCAAGACCTGCGTCATGCTGGGGACATGTCAGGAGTTAGGATCCTACTCATCCAAGGCTGTGTGATTAATCCGCTCCAATTCAGCCCCTCCTACCAATGGAAACATACATCCCTCAGCTCTACCTCTACAGTGCAGCCACACAGCCCACGGGATGCTGTTCTCCTAGAGCTGTTCTCGGATGGCAGAAGGGGTGCTTTGGTCTCATCCAATCGCCGAATAAGACACAAGTTATCTGAAGGGATCAGGGCTGCTCTGCTCCAAACTGTGTCTCTTTTTAATGGCTCGGGTTAATTGACTACATTCATCGGAACACACAATCAGAACCTATTTTAAAATGTCTACACCAGCAATATTCAACCGGTGGGCTACACTGCCTCCCCAGAGGAAGCACTATAGGGGCACTATGAAGCTAGAAAAATGTAATTAATATTTTAACTTCTTTATTTTCAGAAAATTGGGTCGGGAGGGCACGACACCTGTTGCCTTCTTAGCATGCAGTCTATGGCATCGGCCTGCTTCTTCTTTTGTCTACATGTGTGAGTCACACCGCAGGGTAACATTTATAGTATGTGGATGTTGCCACCATGTTACCCCCTGAAATTTTCCCCAAACAAATCTGCCACTTTCCTTGGGTCAGTAACTACTGTTTCCCACTGTGCCTTAAAAAACCAAAAAGTTGAGGAAAACTGTTCTTTAGAAACCACGTTACACAAGAACACAAAGAGTCAAAATCAGGTGCAGTGAAACGATCCATACTTCCCCTGCTATTCTTCCTAAACATATTAAGGGTAGATTCCCCCCCCACTGCTCTAGCCCCAAAGGATTTCCCCCTCCCTGGTAAGTCAAAGACAACCCACCCACCTATTATCTCCTTCAAAGTCACCTTGAGGAGCCTTAACAGATCTCAGAAGCTACTACAAAGCAAATCTGTTCAGGACCCACATCCTCAAGGAAAGCCAAGAGTCCTCTAAGGGTCAAAACCCATCACAGTTCCAGAAAATAGTAACAAAATTCCTGTTTTAGTGATATTTGGAAATCTGAACGCCGCCCACTCCCTCCAATTAGTAGTAACCTTGCAGTTAACTCGGAAGCCCACGCCTTACTCAGGCAGGAGAAAAGCGAAACCTTTTTTTTTTTTTGCCGGAAGTCAACTATTCCCACGAACCCAGAGACTCACCGTTCCGTTTTGACCAATGATGCAAGCAAGTACTTTTCACAAGGGCTTCGTCAACCTTCCCTCCTGACATGTTGTCCATGAACTGGCGCCCATGTTCCAGCGCAAGGTAGCAGTCATTGCAACAATCCCTTTCCTCTGCACGCACCAGGCTGCCGACGGCACTGGCTTTGGGCAGAGGGTCCTGATCGGCCGCTCCGAAGGGTGAGAACAAGTTGGTGCACTGGTCTTGCAGCAAGAGGATCAGCTCCTCCGGCAACCGCTCGGCCTCCTTCGGTCCTCCGCCGTGCTCGACGGTGCCAGTGCCACGGAGAGCCTCGAAGCGCTTCTCGGCCTCCTTGCCGCACTCCGTGTTGCGCCCTAAGATGTCCAACTCGTCCTCCAGGAACAAGCCAGAGCTGTTGCCAAACTTCCGGTTCATGACCGCGCTGAAGCCACAGGTACACCGGTACTGAGCTTCCTGGGTCGGGTCGGGAATGTAAACGCCAACATCAGCACCTTTGATGTTCATGTTGCAGACGCAGATGCAACAGCTGTCAAAATTGCAATCCTTGAAGAGATTCATCACGGATTCGGAGAGAATGAGGTTGACGTAGAGGCTGTGGGCTTCGGGGATGGAAGGGACGGTGGCCGGCTCGACAGAGTTGAGCGGCCGGCAGGTCGAGGGCGTCGAAGCGGGCGAATACAAGTCTGAGTTCTCGTACTTGACAGAACCTTGGGCACTGGCCGGGCCCCCGGTGCCACGGGGAGTTCTTGGCGTCCGAGGGGTACGAGGGGTCGGGAAACGAGGGGTGGAAGGAGAAGGCAGGATCCCTGGCCCACCATTACTGGGCGGAGCGCTGCTGGGGGGCATCCCAAAGGGAGTATGTGTCTGTGGGGTGTACGCAGGGCCGTACTCTTGATCAATGGTACTGCCATCGCTAGAAAAAGGAGCCGGGAAGAGTTATATTCACAGTCTTCTGAGCAATACATGAAAGATTCACATGCATAGTAGGTTAACTACACACAGAGTGCAAGAACGATTCAAAAGTTCAAAAAGTCAAAATGGTCAAGACACAGGGTTCATGCTAGCTTTTCACCCAGATATATTAATGCATGTATCGTGTATATTATTTTAAATTAGTTTGAAGAACATCAAGTTCTTCGCTGGAATTACACAAGAAATGCAAACAGCCTCGTAATTCTTCAGACATCTTCCTATGTTTTGGAAGCATGGCGACAACATCTTCCTGCATACGCTACATAAGATGCAAGGAATACCACAGGGAACGGCCATTGTCTGTGAAACCTGCGTGCCACTTTGGAGCAGAAGGTAGGGCGGGAGACAGTCAATATCCTGAGCCTGCAAGAAGCCACCCTTACAGGCTAAGCCTCCCCCCACCGGTCCCAACGAAAGCAGGTTCACTGACTCCAACAGGACTGTGGACTCAGCAAGCCTCCTTCGTTCAATGGGCCTGGGCAGCAACAGACTGACAACCCCTGGCGCTCACCCTCCGCGCACAGAAAAAGAAATCACTCAAGAGGCCTATGGGAGAGATCCAAGCTGTTTAAAGAGTCAGGAAGATTGAATCCATGCTTTACGGCAGAGCTTCCCGGGGTGTGGCAGAACGTGGAAGGCACTGGCATTCTGCACCTCCCCAGCCTGCCTTCAGACCAGATCCTCCTTTCTCCAGACTTCGCGTTCAGAGCAAATAACTAATTTTAGCTCAACGGCTGAATTAGCTTCGCTTCTTCTCGGTGATGTCATCCCAGAACCCACTCAGATTGGCTAAGTGACAGTCTCCCTGTTACCGGGAAGACCACCTTTGCTGTTTACATACAGAAAGTGCCAAAGCAGCTGCCGAGCCTCTGAAATTCTCCTGTGCCTACTAAAATTAAATGTTATCTCCTAAGCGTTCAGTGCCATTTCAGCAATTCATGGCAGATTCCATTTCAAACATGACATCTGTGAGCAACTATTTCCTTTTACTATAAACAGAACAGATATTTCCCCTCTTTCTCCATTAAAAAAAACCCACAGAATGAGAGAGAGAGAGAGAGAGAGAGAGAGAGAGAGAGACTACCTCGCATTATCGTACTGCCAAAACTACAGCAGAGTCCCCCAAGTCTGCCTTTCTAGTACTCTTCACGGCTTATTAAAACTAAATTTATACTACAAAGTACCCCCGAGAAACCATTACATGAGAATCCATGAACAAAGTTTACACCTGTTAAATTGCTATTTTAAAAACAAGCAGGGAAACCAAACAATTTTAAGCAATACCTTAACACAGACGTCTGTTGTCAGCAAAGGGGGAAGGGGGTTTACTCCCTGTGGCTTACTCCCACAGCCCTGACCAGCTGAGCAAAATGGTGAAGGATGATGGAAACTGGAATCCTAAAATAATCTGGAAAGCCACAAGTGCCCACCACCACCCCTGATTTATAGAGCACCTATTTATTGTAAGGGGGTCCAGTGCATTAAGACCATTTTATTCAAAGGAAGGTGAGAACCACCTCCTCCCAATTGACCAGCCACCCAAAGGAGCCGGGGTGCAACTCCCGTGATCCCAGAGCCAGCCCGGCTGGGGGCTGTGGCCCAAGGCTCCTGGGAGGGCACCCCGAATAAGGGCTTTTTCTCCAACAAAAGCCACCCACGGCCTGCGACTGCGAGGTGTGTGGCAAAAAGGTCCTGCCCTGTTGCCAACACCTTTAAGAAAGGCGGCATAAGAGACAACGGTTCTCGAAAGCCGTTCCGCTGGACATTTTGAGGATTAACTCCGAAAAGCCCCAGCCCGCAGTCCAAACACAAAGGTGGACCAGAGGCTGAAAACCAGTGCTTTAAGCTCGAGGTGGCGACACCCAAAAACGAACAGCCTCTGCGGTTTCACAGAACACATACCTCTCTTTGATGAACGGCACAGCGGGTCCTGGAGGAAGCAACTCCAGCTTCCCAACGGCCCAGCTCTGGCGGTAGACACACTCCTCGGGCAGCTTGACGGGCGGGAGACACTGGCTGGGGAGAGTCTTCAGGGGCGCAAACATAGAACACCCCACAAAAGCTTGGCTGTTCTCAGGCTTATAAACGTACGAATAATCCTAGCAGGTGAAAAGGGAACAGGTAGACCATCAGAAAAAGTAAGAGGCAGATGGGAAATATCTTTTCTCTCTTCCTCTCCCAGAAACACACCTCGAAAACCCAGTCCCTTAGTTTACCCCCAAGAGAAGAAGCTGTAGAGGAGACAATAGGAGGATTTGAGCTCCACCAAATCATTCAGAACTTTTTTACTGTGGCTGGAGTGATGGTGGCTATTTTCCTCCTTCCCCATTCTGTTTCCTCTACGCATCCTTTACTCGCCAAAGAACCTGTCTGGAAACTTTATTGCCAAAAGAACAAGACACATGGGCTACACTTCAAGGAAGGCTACTTCCCCGTGAGCAATTCTGTAGGTTTCAGCTCGCTGCCTCCTGATCTAGAGGGAGAACCCACCCAATGGGAGGTACCTTGAATGGTGGTTTTTTTTTGGTGGGGGGACGGACAAAAGAGAAGACACACCACCTCCGTGGTGGAAACATCCTTGTTGCATAAAAGGTACAGGTGGAGCAGGATGCGGAGTGTTTGTGAAGTCGTCTTCTCAGTTTTGACAGAGCAAGAGAACAGAGCTGGCACACCACTCACGAACGGGCTGTACAGCTCCCCAAAAACTCACCCCACATACCCTTTGTCTGACTGTGGGCCAAGAAAGGAGATGGATAAAGAAGCAATTTAAAGCTCATTCTAAATTGGATCCCTCTGTTTGCATGTAACCAACAAGTAGGTGCCACCAAAAAAATGCAAGGCTGTCACACTACTAAACAGGGTCACAGCAAAACATACCGATTCATTCCAAAAAAGCACAAAATGCCCGCACTAAACCACAAAGAGAGAGATCCATTATACTGTCTTCCCATCATCGTAACATCAGATTTTCAATCTGATAAGCCCCAAACAGGACAACGAGATGCAAGAAGAACGACCACCACGAACAGCGAATGAAATAAAAAAACTCGGAGGCGGTGACATCAAGACGACTTTCACGTACCTTTATCTCCGAGGGTTTGGGGCTGCAGAACCCTTCATCGACTTCAATCCTGAACTGGAGGCCGACCGCAGCACCGTTCCCATCGAGGACGGTCCCTCCTGGTGTGGTGTCCAAGCTGCCATATTCCTTACTGTTCATGTTCATGGGAGAAAATCCCATAATGTGTTGCTCCAACGACGGTGGCGTGGGATACATTTTATGAAGGTCTGCTGTACCTGGGGTAAATTTCAAAGTGTGACTGCGTGTTCCCACCCACCCACCCCAAAAGAGCTGGGCTGGCACTACAGAGAGGGTTCTCTTGACTTTTGCGATATGATCCTCGCACTTTCCAAGACATTAACGGTACCACTGCTATAATAATCTACGTGACAATGGGGGCTGATGCCTTGCCCGCAACTTACCGGCCCCAAACAGGACAACGAGATGCAAGTTAATCCGTTCCGGATTAACCTTCGCTATAGCGAAACATCGCTAAACGGAATAAAAAAAGCCATAGAAACGCATTGAACTTTGTTCAATGCGTTCCTATGGCTTGAAAACTCACCGTTAAGCGAGGTTCTGCCATAGCGCCGCCATTTTCGCGCCCTCGGTAAGCGAGGGCAGGGCGCGAAAATGCGGCGCGGACCTTCCGGCGGCCATTTTGGAACTGCCGATCAGCTGTTCTCCCCCGCTTCGTTATGCGATATTCGCTAAGCAAATCGCTTAGTGAATATCGCAAAGCGAAAAATCGCCATAGGGGCCATTGCTGAGCGAATGCTCCAGCGATGGCTCAGAGTGCCTCGTTAAGCGATTTCATCGCTTAGCGAGGCGCTCGTTAAGCGAGGCACCACTGTATCCCCTTCCTGGAGGTTCTCCAAAGACAAGGTCTGAATATTACTTGAGAGAAGCCTGAAGTAGGTACATGGAATGGCAAAGCCGATCAATGCTCTCTCTGTGGCCAGAACGGGGGGGGGGGGGGAAATGGCCACGAAGGGCAGAGGCCGGTTTCAGACACAACGGCTCAGTCCAGCTCTCCCACAAGAAGTCACAAAGGACAAAGTAAGGTGGAGATTGTCAACCCACACGCGAAATGGGACCACCACTGTGGCCTGCCAGAGCAAGCTAGCCACTTCCAATCTGTCCTCAGCGAGAGGCAGTTAAGAGTGTGTGGCTGTTAAGAGCGTTTGACGAGCACTCAGGAGACCAAGGTTCAAATTCCCGCTTGGCCGGGAAATGCTCTGAGTACTCTCAGGCCACCCATGGTTTTTCTGTCCCCCCCCCAACTCCGAGTTCCCAGGTTTGTTTTCAGGAGAAAGCAAGGCGTATACGTCACACCCTGAGCTCAACTGGAGAAAAGGCAGGACATAAACAGGACAAATAAATAATAAGGACGGTTGTTGTAGAACTCAAGAGTTCTAACTCCTGTCCTCTGAAGATGCCGGCCACAGAGATGGGCGAAACGTTAGGAAGAAAAACCTCCAGAACACGGCCAAATAGCCCGAAAAACCCACAATAACCACCGGATCCTGACTGTGAAAGCCTTCGGGAATACAAAAATAAGGACGTTTGAATTCTGCTATAGGAGACATGTCGATCCAGTGAATTTTATGCTTTTCAGCTGTAAAAGCTTGGCCGCTGTAAGATTTGCTGCACAATGACTAGGGAGACCCAAAATCCTCTCCTCCCACCTCTGCTGGGTTACAAATGATCCTGTTCGGTGATCTGTGTTACAGAAGCAATCATTCCTGCATGACTGGTGCAAGTGAGTGACAATGGGAGCAGCAGCCATGTTGTTAAAAGCAGGAAACTTATGAATCAATCTGCTAAGATCTTTCTATTTCTCACGGGATCTGCGAAGCCAGCAAAAAACACCTCAAATTCAAGAGCCAAACACGCTAGCATGGGTTCACAGAATGTACTCTGCAGATATTACTATACATTATCTTTTTCCAGACACCGTTGCCTGCCTCAAGTGATCCTAAATATTTTTGGCTCCTATTTTCAGCTGGCATCATGCTGCTTCTATAGCGAACCCCTCATGTTGTTAAAGCAGAGAGCAAAAATTGTGTATGTGATAGTACAAAACAAGGGAGGAGGGGCACTTACTTATGCAAGACAAAGGGTCCAGATTTCCTGCTTTTGACTCCTTACAGTTGGATCGGTCATCTGCACCATTCAGCATCCTTTTAGACCCAGGCTGGGGAGGGAAGAGAAAGTAAAATCCTTGGTAAGAGAGCTGAAGAAAGTAAGACTTTAAAGCAACTTCATTAAGGGCCGGGGCCTCTGTATTCTAAAAACCCGTGCCATGTGGCAAATGGCTCAAAAATGGATGGAAATTTCTGGAGTGGTCTGTGAGAGGCAGCACAGACGCCCTGCTACTCAAAGTAGGTAGAAATCAAACTGAGCAGGGCCTGGAGACGGCTGGCTGGTGGTGGTGTTTAGGAGTTACGGCCAAAGGAATGAGATTCTCCAGGTTTGGGCTAGGCTCAGATCCACCAAAAGTTGTCTTTCAGGATCCCAGCTATAAGTTTTAAGACACATGCTTCAGGTCGCTTAGTTGTCTATTTCCAACTTTTACTGCATGGCTATGAGCCTTCAATCAAATTCAATCAATTCAATCAACTTATATTTGCCTTATGCTCCACACTTGCAATTTTAGATCATTAAATGCATTTCTGGGGCTGCACGTCTAGCTTTCTGGCTGATTACCATGAAATCAGTTTTTCGCCGGCAAGCGTAAACAAGGGTGAGGGAATTGTCCCTGGCGCATGCATTTTTCACACAGAGAATGAAATCAAAAAGCCCAGGCAACCCCTCATCAAATGGGTGGCTTAAAAAAATTAATTCGCTCCTGAATTTGCCTCAAAATTTCCCGAGCTCATGATGAACTGCTGGATGGCTTAGTAGTTTAAGTCTCTGGCCGTGGAGCCAGAGGTTGGGAGTTTGACTCCCCACTGCGGCTCCTCGGCAGGGGATGGGCTTGATGACCCATAGGGTCCCTCCCAGCTCTGCAGCTCCAAAATGATGACGATGAATAGGAGAGAAGGTTCAAGCCTCAAGCAATCAACTTGCTATTGGAAAACCCACCCAGAAGGGCAACCTCTGGGTGCCAAATAAGCAATCAAGCTGTACAACTCAATGCCGGCCTATTAAACCCCCCCACACACACACACCTTCAATGGGAAGAGCTTCCTCCAAGTCTCACGACATCAGCTGGCGACCCCCTAAGTGGGCGTCACTCCACTGTGGAGTGCCATTAAAGGAGAACAGGACTCTACCAAGAGTACATATTGCACTACAGGTGACATCAGCAGGGCACGATTAAGGTCAAACACACCCATTTCATTAGAGGAGCCTCCAAAACCGACACAGATGCCAAAAGCATGAGAACAGGAGTCCTTCTTATTTTTAATTATACGCTGCTCTCTTCTGCGTGTCACGTTGGTTTCAACAGCAGCCCTTCTTTGCATGCAGCGCTTCTGCTACAGGCAAGTGTTTCCACAGCACCCCACCCCACGAGTACGATGCGCAGATCTCAGCAAACTGCTTACCGTTAGCTCATCTTCGTCAGAGTTGAAGAGATTGTCAAGGTCAGTGTAGGAGACAACAAGGTCATTTTCATGGAACAAGCTAGTGGATGCCGTACGATTGTGAGGGGGAATGCGCTGAGCATCTATCCCTGAAAGAAGAGATACCAGAAGCGTCCCATCAGACTCGAAACACGGCGGGAACAGCATACGGTTTAACCACGGACATATTTTGACCTGAGGCCTTCCCGTCAAAGAAACGAGTACATTCTCCTATCAACACAGCTAGCTTTTCTTCACCTGGGTAACCAGATAGTTTAGATGCCTAGTTTGGGTGGCTATTTTTATTGTTTATCCTTCTATCTTGAGGACGGTTTTTCATGACTCTTTGCTTGGATAGACACTTTTAGAAAATCTGCATGCTTTTGCTGAATGTGAAATGACAGATACGTTTTCCACATTCTGTCCTTCTCTGTCCACCACTTCAGCGCACTTTCACAGGAGGAAGGGATAACATATACTGTACATTAAATGACCAAGCCTACCTCATGGACATCTTACATTTATCTGGTTTGCTTTGTAGGCAATTTGTGTTCAAAACACACCCACACCCTTTTAAATTAACTAAGCACCATAGATTTTAAGGAAACAGACATGTTACCTTGTTTCACAGAAGGGCTAAAAAGCGACATTGCATCTTCCCCAACATTGGGTGCCCCATCTTCACTCTGGGAGGGGAAAAAAGGGCAGCAACAGGAAGTGTAAGTGAAGGCATGGCTGCTTCACATTGACCTATAAAGGCTGCTTTACAGTGAGCAACAGGCCCACTGGGCCACCACGTCTAGCCAGCTGTTTCGACCACCAAGAACCCTCCCCTTAAACCTGATGCCCCAAATTCTTTTCAATGAAGGTTCTCAAGACAGAGGCCCCTTGGAAGCACAGCACGGGTTCTGAACTACAGCAGAGCGTAACAGTGGATGTTTTCTTCCCACCTACGTTCAGAACCTGAATATGAAATCTTATTTTGCAAGCCTTGGGGGTCTTCTCCGAGTAAAACAGCTCCACATCCATAAGCTGTGGCCCCTCCCCATGACTGCCATTAAGGGAGACCAAGCAGAAAACATTACAATGGAGCCGAATACACATTTGCACTTTCCCCCTGAGCCCCTCCTGCTCCAGTGGCCGGCAGGGGCAGCCATTTCCAGTGTGAATCTTGGTGCTCACCTTGTGTTTCTTCCCGACTTCTCGTTCACTGTTCTGCCGGTCCTTTTTATCAGGAAACGGGAACTCCTCATCTCCATCAACAAAGGCATACGGGTCCATTTCCGGCTCCTGGTCAGCGACTATTGCTGCTAGATACTGGTTCTTGCTCTTGTATTGCTGCACCAATTCATCAGACACCTTTAGAGGTTTCCTACACTGTACCATTAATCTGCAGGAAAGAACCGATATATGGTGACCGTGAGTAAAGAGCTGGAAGTCAGGAGAAGAACTACACTTTTAGGGACATAAGGATAGATGCAAACAGCTCTCTTCATCTCAGATGCAACAAATACAATTTAGAATGTGCTCTTCTATAGGCCTGAAGGCATCCAAAAATAACTTGTGTGTGTTGGGATTTTTCAGCCACCAGGACCTTTCTCCGCCTGCTCTCCCTTGGCCACAGAGACAACTGAGATCAAGTCTTGCATTAGGTATTTTCCTGAACTTGTCCTTCAGACGGGCAACAAACTGGCTGCAACTGGACACTAGAGACAGCTGGCATTTCTATCAGGAATAGGGTTAGCAGCCGCTGGAATGCTAACATGATGGACAGCATCCTACACCAGCGATTTTCACCGATTCTATCTTGCCGCTCTAACCTGTTTGCAGAGGAACCTCTGCCTGTTTGTCACAGATGCCTAACAGGGTACAGAAGACTTAAAGGCCCCTTATAAGAGCATCATGAGATGAGCTTCCATACTGTCAACCCACAGGTACGACAGATACAGCATTTTACTTACTTATTTAATTTATTTATTTAACTTATATGCCGCCCAAACTACCCAAAGGTCTCTTTATTATATTCCAACTTTCTTCCTGAAGCAGAAGCAGCCAAAGTGGCTTTGCATTAACAGTGAATAAGAACAAAAATGGTTACCAATATTAGGACTGTAATGTAAGAAAGACATCTTACCGGCCGGTAATTGGCCAGAAACACAAATCTCAATTAAACAGCCGGAAGACTAGAGATCGGCCCTAATACAGAGGGTGTACAGTATAGCTTTAGGCAAATGGATATTCTAGGAGGTGGGGAGAATAGCTCTCCCACTGCAAGGCAATTCTAGTCTAGATACAACTACAGAATACACCCAATGACATGTTCCCACCAACCAAATGTCTGATGTGGGATACGCAACAGGATTGCCCCCAGATTATCAGACCATATGACCTGAGCATTTGAAAGACTGGAAATATCCCTTAAAGGCTTCCCTAGGCCTTAATTCATGATGCTAAGGAAGGCTAAGTTAGCTCCTTCCTCTCTGATTCCTTCCTGTCAAATGGGCCTGAATTCAAGGTAGGGCGTAGCGGGAGTACAAGCTTCCAAGGTAATGCACCATTACTCAGAATAAATCCACTGTTCAGTACGTTCCTTCTGAAACAAACACACAGACCACCAAATTACCTTATTTAGAAGCCAAACACGCTTTACCGAAACAAGACAGCGTGAGAAAGACGAGCGGGTGGAACAGTTTTGTTCACTTAACACTCCACACACACACACACAGTCTTCAAAGCAAAAGGGAGCAAGGAGTCCGGAAAGGAAACACACACTTCCACTCTTGAGCAAGAAGAAAACAATTGATGAACATGACTCAAAAAGTTTGAAGACGTTACCGGGCAACAGTGTGCTGAACCACAAGGATGAGGGGTTAGTTGTATCACAACAGCAACAATAACAACCACCACCAACGGGCTTTAAAGAAACGAAAGTGGAGAGACAAGTAGAGGATTCCCATGTGGTCTGTTTTGTCACCCTGAACTCCACCTGGCAAAAGATGTTTGCTAAAAATTTCTCCCGTCTGGTTTGGAGGAAAGGAAAAACAGTACAGTAAATGCAATGAGAGCGGCTTTCATGTACTCGGAGTGGAATCAATGTAGAATTTAGCAAACCTTCTCAAAAGGTCTAGCGCTGGGTTTAAATGTCAGCTTAAAACCAACAATTACGGGTGCCCAGAGGCAATTAAAGCTTATGCCTTTTCACGCCATGTCCATCACAACAGCAGCTGCAAATATGGTCTACGTTTGACGCATTCCACGGCAGAGACATAAGAGTTCGTAATGTCACTCCATTTCAGGGAAATACAGTTCTTCTGAGAGTCGACAGTAGCCCGGGGCAATTTAGTTCACCGTTTGTTAGCAAGGAAGGGGGTCACACATAGTTTGCTAGGAAGTCAGCGATGTTCAGACTCTGCATAATGGAAATGTGCGTGTGTGTGCCGTGTCGCTAAGTCAGAACTGACTTAAAGGGACCCTAACAGGTGAGTCAGTTATTTAAAGAAGTGGTTTTAACAGTTCTACTCCCCCAGCGAGTTTCCATGGCTGAGTGAGGATTCGAATCCTGTTCTCGATTCCTAGTCCTGTTACTCTGTCCGCTGCACCACATTGGGGACCCATAATGGAAATATTAAGAGGGGGGAGATGACCTTTTTAGATATAGAGAATCCAGAAAACAGCTATCTTCAGATAGCTGTCTGCTTTTATCAGTGTCACCAGAACTCGCAAGGTGGACACCAACTGTCTCAGGTAAGCAGCTAAAATGTTTAAGCCAACAATCAAAGATGCAAAGGTGAACAGATCCGGACCCATAAACAGGCAATCTCCTTGTTGTGAACAGACTTCTGGCAGCTGTCTGGGTGTGTTAAGGGGTTTTAGTGAGAGAATAAGGAATGAGCTTTTAATAAGAGACATCCTACTTTTTTCCTCTTCCCCCTCCCTGGCATCTCTTTACACTCTTAAAACTTTAAGTGTTGTTGCTGTTTTTCATAATCCATCCAAGTGTATTTTAATTATCAAAGCTTAACTGTGGTTTCAGTTGTATCTGTTTCCAATCATCCTTTGGGACTGCCCCGAATCTCGCTACTGACAAAAAAAGGTGGGCCTTCGAATAAAATAAACCGGTGCCATCATCATTCGTATAATAAAAGTTATTACTGAAGGAAGATTCAGCAAGGAACTCTAGGCGATGCACTTCCAGGGACACAATCCGTGTGAGCCGCTGTGTAGCACCACTCAATCAGGGATCGCGATCAACAACATACGGGCAGGGTGAGCACGGCAGCCTCGTCCCCCTCTGCCCCAGCTCGACGCTTGAAGGGCGATGATGAACTCAAAGGGGAGGGCCTTTCAAGAGGGCGGGGACCTTATTCTAGAGTAAAACAGAATCCCCAGAAAGCAGCCATCTCTAACTCACACGGGGAGTCCCAACAGGCTCTCCCAACGCAGACTTCTCCCCTTCCACACCTACAGAGACCTAGACAATCCGGCTTCCTATGCACTGCCAAACACCATTAGATTCACACCATCCTGTGGAGAAGCAACTGAATCCACTATCCTCACCACCCCCACCCCCATTCCCAGCATTCTCTTCAGAGCCAGATCTCAGAGGTAGAGATGGGCACGAATCAGGAAGGAGAAAAAAAACGATGAATCAAGTTGAACCACCGTGAACCTTCGGAGCAACGAATGGCCCGTGGTTCATTTCTCCAGTTCGTGCCTGGGGAGGGAGGAACCTGCTGCCTCCACCCTCTCTGCCCCCTTCCCGCTGCACCGGCGGCCTCGCAGTTCGTGCCTGGGGAGGGAGGAACCTGCCGCCTCCACCCTCTCTGCCCCCTTCCTGCTGCACCGGCGGCCTCACCAACCTGGTCCTGCCGCTGCCGCCCATCTTCAGAAACAGCAGCCGAGCTTCCCCTTCCAGGAGCCAGGCGAGTTGTCTCCACACATGGGCCCGCCTGGAAGGGAAGCTGGGGAATTGCCTCTGAAGATGGGGGTGTGGGGGGGTTTGGGGCTCACTCCACCCATCGCCTGGAAGGGAAGCTGGGGAATTGCCTGTGAAGATGGGGGTGTGGGGGGTTTGGGGCTCAGAGGAGGAGGAGGAGGCAGGACCAGGGAGGGAGGCGACGGGGGTGTGTGTGTGGTGGGAAGGGAGCAGGCAGGCACCTGTTTTGCCAAAGCAAGACAAAGCACCAAGTGGAAAGAAGTTCCCTGCTTTGTTTTGCCAACGCCTGGAAGGGAAGCTGGGGAATTGCCTGTGAAGATGGGGGTGTGGGGGGTTTGGGGCTCAGAGGAGGAGGAGGAGGCAGGACCAGGGAGGGAGGCGACGGGGGTGTGTGTGTGGTGGGAAGGGAGCAGGCAGGCACCTGTTTTGCCAAAGCAAGACAAAGCACCAAGTGGAAAGAAGTTCCCTGCTTTGTTTTGCCAAAACGGATCGCACAAACTGAACCACGAACCAGCCCGATTCGTGTTCTTTTCCGGTTCATAATTCAGTCCAGGGCCATCTCTACTCAGAGATAAGAAAAGTGATCAGTCCCAGACTGACCCTCCTACAGCACTGTTTCTTTTTGGGGTGGGGGTTCCCACCACCAATGGATGCCCCCCCCCACAAGAGACATACTCCGCCGCTGCTCAGATTATGAAGAGCAGAACACATGCAATGAAACAAACAAACAAAGCAAAAAGGCTTAAGACAAGCAGGCAGGCAGGCAGGCAGAAACTCTGACCTTTTGGTGCCAGCCTGTGACTTCTGGAGGCAGCCCACGTTTGACAAAGACCTCCGGGTTGGCAAGAAGAGCAAAGGGAGCCTCCCTCTCCAGCACTAGCGAGACGTCTATGACAGAAGCCACACAAGCAAGCCGACAGACAGCAGGGGAAAGAAGTAGGGAAGGGAGCCAAAACCTGAACGGGGATGGGAGGCACAAGCAGAGATGCCAACTCTTGGCATGCGCCTCCCCTTCCACCGTTCTGTGACAGGGAAGGATGTAAGAACCTTGTCAAAGGGATGGGCAGGGAGAAACTTAAGATTTTGGAGAGACCAACTATCGCTCCGGGTTCCCACCGACCCTTTGGAAGAACTGTCCGCCATATATCAGTTTGTTTAAGATGCACTATTTTCTAAGCTTGTTTGAGTGCCAGGCCTCTAGGAGAAATTGTACTGCTCTGTCTCCCTCTTCCTGTTTCTGTGTTCATGCTTCCCACACTTGTCAAGTTCCTTCTCTGTGATTGGTTTCTACCGTAAGTTCGTTATGGACCCACTTTCATCCTTTTAAGCAGCCTAGGCATTAAAGGCAGGGCAGGACGGGATAGAAATGTTCTGATCATCTGAGATTGAAGAAAACACTGTATGAGACTTAATATCTGTGGATTTTCAAAGAAGCAGCTATGTTTATCTGTGCAGGCATATCAGACAAAAACAAAACTTCATTTTTTTAAACAGAAAACATTGTGGCACCTTATAGACTAACTGCTATATTTTAACATGAGTTTTTAATGGATTAAATCCGCTTCCTTGGACCATTTACGGGGTAAGAGATAAATAAGGAGGAAGTTCAAAACTGAACACGCTTGACTTTTCTGGAGCTGTTTTGGAAATCCAGAGACAAGATTTAACCCCCTTTCATTCCACAGATTCCAACGGCATGGTTTGTTACACGCTGGGAAGTTTAGCAAAACCCAGAATGGGATTTTGGTTTTGAACGAAGTGGAAACTATGATAACATCATTTAAATATTTGCTCTTCTGACACAGGACACAAAGAAGTATTCAATTAAATGCCAAGTCCCTCTTTCAAGAACCTATGACAGACTCCTTTCTCTCTAAAAGAAATGTGCAAGTGTCAAATCTTAGCACCATTGGTGGAGTCCTTTCACCAGACTGCCTCTACAACAGAACGGCAAAATGGCCTTTATGGCCAAGCTGTGCCAATATCTTACTGGTACGACCACACCCAAACTCCAAACACTGCAGGAAACTAAACCCAAGATCCCTCAAACCCCAACAGAGAAGCGCAAACCTGGATCAATGCTCAAACAAGGACGAATTCTCTCTCATTCTCTCTTAGAAAATAAACCACTGATACAAATGACTCAGGTATTAAGGAGTAGTGGTGCTGTAGTCTTACTTCAATGGGAAAAAAAAATTCTTGAGCCCAATTATAAAAGGCCTTCAAATAAATTCTCAGCAGAACATCCAAATGAATTTGGGACTAACCTTAAAATGTCTTAACTAAAGTCTAGTCTACCACACAGAGGACTCAAGCGCTACAGCACTGCTACGGATAAGGGGTTATTACAGCTTTTTCATTCCACTCGCAACCTATTCACCAGATGGCAATGGAGCCCTTCCATTCTATCGCTAGCACCACGGACAAAGCCAACTGTCCCTCGCTGCCAACATGGAACTCCACTACCATTTTGCCCCCCCCCAAAAAAAATGATTATCTGCAATAGGATCCTAGACAGATCATTTGCCAGTGAGTGACTGGGATTAGCAGATTACGAAAGAAAACAGCAGAAGAAACTTAAACGACCCAGTTGGGCTCAGCAAAGTCTCATCCTTACGTCTGCAAAGTAAACTGACGTAGAAGAGGGGGAAGTTCATTGAAACGACAGGTGAGCCCAGACAGCACCAAAATATAACGCTTTCTGCTACCACCTGAAAGAACGGTGTGTGTTGGATTTGCACGCTCACAATTAAGAGGACTGCAGCACCAGCTCCATTCATTCTGAAGCATTAGAACTTGCTACAAAACAAATTATCTCCTCTTTGAACTCAGGGCATCGCTTTCAATGTCAACCCTTTGTGGGGGCAAAGTTGTTTGATTAACACCCACCGGGAAAAACTCGGCCTCGGATTCCATATTTAGAACGCAAGCATAGGAGGTACTTACTCTGTGGCCGAGGGAACGGCATCTAGCCCCGCAAATCCTGTGGGGTCGTCCCTAAATTTCTCGCTGGGCAGTTGAGGCGGCAAGAAATCCACATCCTTGTTCTTTGGGACCCTGTAGTACTTCCACGTGGAGTCTGCGTCCTCCTCCTCCACGTTCACCGCTGTACCAACGTACATTGTGGGCTCTATGACTTCTGGGAACTGTGCCGAAAAAGTTTGGGACAGGCCCTCTATCCTGTCTTCCATTGCTTTGGAAGGAACCAAAGGATCTGGAGTTGGCATCTGATAGAAATGCTGGCTCTGGGGAGTGGAAGGCGTTTTGGTGGCCCCTTCCTCGGCAACGTCGCAGGGGTGAGGACTGAGAGGGGGCGGCTGCGGGGAGTTGGCCATCTCCGCCCCGTGCATCTGAGGAGTCTTGGCGACGTCGCCGGCTCGGAGGTTGGAAAACCTCACTTGGCTGTCGGACGCCGTGATCACCAGCCTCTGATTGGCCGAGTCGGCCTCCATGGCCACGTCGTCGCTGATGGACACGCGGTGGTGGAAGGGAGTCAGAGGACGCTTCTGGGGCTTGTCGCCTTTCTCTTGCTTCTCGTTCGCCTTGTGCTTTGGAGCTGCTTGCGGGGGCTGGCCCACGGGAGGCACCGGCCCCTGCTGAATCCCAAGTCTGGGTTTGAGATTTTTGTGCCTGAAGCGGGGCAAAATGAGAAGGCAGGCATTTTTAAAGCAATGAGTTTAAAGAACACTGCACGGAAATAAGCAAAGTCAGATCAGGCTGGTACAGAGATGTACCGCTCATCTAGGATGCCTCCTATCATCTGTTACCTTCCATAAGGAGATCAGAACGGTTAGGGGATGGTAAGGGGAAGATTCCCCCACTTTTCCCCTTGGTTTCATATATCTAGTGTTAACCACAGCTAAATGCACAAAGACAGAGGAATCCACAGGTATACCTCCTATCTAGTATTAACGCTGTCTCCTGTTGCCTTAAATAAAGAGAGGTGTCAGGTTATAAGGGGGAAATGATCCTTTTTCCTCATTTTGTACTCTTTTCATGTTAACTGTAGTTACGTTTCCAAATAAACATGAAGGCTCTGGTTAAGATCAGTACATTCAAAGAGCCTCATGGCGCAGTGGTTAAACTGCTGTCCTGCAGCCAAAACTGTGCTCACGGCCCGGGGTTTAATCCCAAGTAGCCGGCTCAAGGTTGACTCAGCCTTCTATCCTTCCAAGGTCGGTAAAATGAGTACCCAGCTCACCGGAGGAGGAGGCAATGTGTAGCCTACATAATTAACTTGTAAACCATCCAGAGAGTGCCTGAAGTGCTATGGGGCGGTATATAAGCAGCACACTTTGTTTTTTTTAACATGAAGCTCCCCCTTGGAGGACATGGGAGAGGGAGAAATCTAAGATCCACCAGTCAACAGTTTAAACAGGGAGACCTGAAGATGCAGCAACTCCGGCTTCTCAATAGGTTATTCAATATTTACATCATTCTTAACTAGGCTTAAAGTGAGCCACACTCTCACTTCACAACCCCTTCAAATCATGTCAATGTTTGCATCATATCTTGACCGTGAGCTAGGCATTAGGCCAGTGCAGGCAGGACAACCTTCTGCAACCAAGCTATCTGTGGTTACTAATCCTGAAGACATTCTGAATCAAGGAAGCAGAAGCCAGAGAGGGAGACACGAAGAGATGGCACAAGGAGCCTGCTCCCTGAACCAGCTGGATTGTCGTCCTGACAAATGCTTCTCCACAACTAACTGGCCTGCGAAATAAGATTCCCCAAAAGGCAGCTGGGGAGGGAGGGGATGTTGGAAAGCATGGAAATACTAGATCCTGTGCTGGTTCTGGTGGGGATGGCTTTGTTCCCTTTTCAGCATACTGTCTTTTGCATCTTAGCCACACTACAAGTCACCCTCAAGGACTATAGAAAAAAAAGCAGGATGCGCATCCAGTACAACGATACACTTATGTTCAGAAGATCTCTTATGAAGACCAGGCCCTGGGGTGGGGGCATTTTCTGTTCACATTAGAGGCATATACAAAACATACATGTACACACACTAAAACACACAAAAACTGCATAGATCTTCCTTAATAAACTCTTGAAATTTTGCTGCTTCTGTTTTTAAAAAAGGGGGGATTCTAAAAGGTTTCTGTGCCACTTTTGAATATTATGACCGAGCGTCTTGGGAGCTGTACCTTGAGCAAATGCAGTTTGTCCTCTGTGTGGCTTCCACAAAGTCCCAAAATGCTATTTTGTCAGCGGTCTCCTCTTCACACAAGCCATTTGATGTAGCAGAATACTTCCTCCTGTATTGCATTTCAGGGAGAAGTTATTAATTTTAAAAAAAATACGCTAAGTTACAAAACTGTAAACCACATTCAGCCCTGCAAAGAGTCACTTGCCCGTCGAGCCTCTGGAAAGCAACACCTCCCCAGAAGCTAGTTTTCTCCCTTGTGGTTTCAGATTGATGATGCACCACAAATTACTAGCAAGTATGTGTGGGCAAACCACAAAAGCCCTCACAAGAGAGCTAGGGCTGTGGACTCACTTGCAATGTTAGAAACCTGCAAACCGATCCACGTATGCAGACACACTGCTGCTTGGCCAAGTTGGTATTTATGATGCTTGAGTATTCGTGTAATATTGTCACTAACCAACTCGGAAAACGAGTGAGAATGAGGGGACTGTGACAGTCATCTGTACTGTTATAAATGATGTGAAGACATTTTTCTGCTTCCCATAAAACCGGTCACCAGGTCAGCCCACGGGGGTTTGCCGGGCAGCTGGCTCAGGATCGACCAACCTAAGTTCCTTCACACTATGCAAAGGGAATTTGCACAGCCACAAGATGCGACAAAGCCCACGGACCTCAGACCACTTGGCAAGCAGATTAGAGAAATACAACGGAATGAACTCTCTCTGCAGCTGGCGGCACACAGAAGTGGGCGACACAACTCCCCCATTTTCAGTTGTGTTCTGGTTCTGGAGATGCCTCACTAGAGCTTCTCCAAGGATTTTAAGAACTGTACCAGAGACAGCCAGGCCATTGGCGGGTTATTCAGAACACGGCTTTCTCAGTGGATGCCCCCCCCACCGAGAAATTGGCCACAACTCTGTTGGCTGTTAAAAACGAATAACTCGTTTATTCAAAACTGTTCTCAGTGCTTAATGGTGCTACTTGCCATGGGGGTGGGGGTGTTCAACTGTAACTCTACAACTCTGTAATTTTCTGAGCCACTTTGTAAGGGCAGTGTGCCCAGAAAGGCAGGCCAACAGTCTGTTAAACAAACATATGTCTTACGTGATCCACTACAGCAGTGGTTCCAAACCTTAAGTACCCAGATGTTGTTCGACTATAATACCCAGAAATCCTGGCCAGCACAGCTGGTGGTGAAGGCTTCTGGGAGTTTTAGTTCAAGAACATCTGTGAGCCCAAGGTTGGGAACCACTGCTCTAGAAGCAACCTAGACCTAGTAAGAATAATGCAGCATGAATGCAAATGGCTTCTTCCCCAGCACCCCTAATGCCTGCTGGGCCAGCTGCACAGACAACTGACTTCGAGAGAAGGAGTCTCCAGGAGAGACAATGATTTTTCCCCTTCACCCAGGAGTTTGTCAAATCCCATCAAAAATGAAGTCCATTTTTCAGGAGCTGACTATACCGCTTTTAAAGACACCCTTTTCTGAAATTTCTCTGGCACCTGCTTGCTTCCCAGACTTACTTTCTTACTCAATTTGTTTTTTTGCTTTTATTCAATGTTCATACCACCCATTTGACCAGCGGTCGCTCAGGGCAGTTCACGACAAAATAAAACATAAACAGACTCCCTATTCTGCAGATCATTCTAATGAAGTCTTAACTCCAAAAGACCACTTCAGCAGCATGGAAAAAGAAACGGGGGCCCAAATCCTTTCCACACAGGTGCAAGGTAAAGTTCCCCCTGCATAGAAGCGGCAGGGCATTATGCTTGGCAACCAGGAAATGTTCAATGCGTCACACGTCCCCAGCACAACCCACTGTGCCATGCGTAGGTGGAAGCACTTCATGGGTAGCACTTCCGCGTTATTATAGTTCCCATGGGTGCCACGCTGAGTGGCACCCACATGGTTCTGCAACAGGATTTTGCCCACCAAATACGAGGACCTCCTTGCTGCTCGGCACTCAAGAAATTTCTTGCTCGTAATCAAGCGTTCCACACGCCCTTCCAGAACAGAAGAATAAGGGACGCACGAGTAGATGACCCAGATGACCTATGTGGGAAGGAAAGTGCTGCTTTCCTGGATAATAGCCAAGAGGGTGAGATATGACAGGGGAGAGAGCTCGTCTAGACAGTAATCAAGGGGTGTTTTATCCTTCCTAAAAGATTTGGCTTACATCATCTCGAGAATACTTTGGGGGAAAAAACAGCAAAGTAGAGGCCATTATTCCTCCTGTTCCACAGGGTGCGTTATGTCAAGTCCGTGGCAGGCAAGATTTAAATGGAGGATTTTTCCTGGTTTCGCAGCCAAGCTCCGGCCATTAGGTTACACTTGCTGTGGCAAATTTCCAAAATGTACCCTGCTAATCGGGAACCAACCTTAGGCAAGCAAGCGAGGGGAAGAAGTAAGAATTTCCCCAGCCAACACAATTCCAAAAAGACCAGTATATCGGTTCTCATAGTGCTAGGGGAGCAAAAGGGAGGAGAAGAGAGGCTACGCCGAGAGCACCAGCTGGAGGACAGGATGGGAACGCCCCCTTCTCCCAGGGCGAGGGGTTACCTATTTGGTTGATGGAAGAAGATCCAAGAGTAGAAAAAAGGACTGGTGTTGCCTATCCTTTAAATGCACCCCCTTTTTTGATTTACCACTTTAACCTTCTCTGGACATCTTTCCACAAGCCTCAGCTGCAAATAATTGTGTCAGGTGTTTTTTTTAAAAAAACAAACAAACAAAAAACACCGGACTATTTGTGAGACTCTCACAGCCCTGGATATGTTGCCAACTTCAATTCCCACTGTGCTGGTTGGTGGCAATAGATATAGGAGCACAGCAGTATCCAACAGGCCCCCGTCTCTCCCAATTCTGGCCATTCATGAAGCAACACGTCCCCTCTTTTCCTGAAACCCTTAAAAGCAACAGCGTTTTACTTTACATTTCCCCCCCTTCTAAGGTCTAAAGCAGAATGATCATCACATACTTGGATACTGCTCTGTTCATATTGCATTCTTGCCAGACTCGGTCAACCACTTGATTGGCCAGCTTCCGCGGGATCCGGCCACCGTGGTGGCTCGTGCTGTCACTGCTGAATGCATCTGAAGCAGAAGAAAGCTTCACCCATTTTTGGGCCGATCGAGCATCAACTGAAGAAAAAATAGGGGGGGGGGAGAATGCAGCTGTTAACCAGAGCACTCACTTTAGCCATCCTGTTTTGACACAACAAAAACACCACCAGGAAGCCCATACTCTGAAACTGTCTGCAAACTGATTCTTATACTGTGGAAAACACTATTCTGGGACCTAACAAGGCCACTCAACCCATCAGAGGCTTGTTTGCCAACTCGTCTTCCTATGGGATAGATGCCATCTTCTGGCAGAAATGTCCTTCTGCATCCTACACAGGGCAAACAGGCCAACGGCATAGAGCTGTGACGGATAAAAAAGCATGAAACATCACCGACAAGGGAGGCTGCTTCAAACACAGATTAAACTTGGCCCTTCTATAGTTGCTCCAGCTCCCTACCTTCAAAGGTTTACACCAAGGGGATCCACTACATTACACCAGGCCTTGCATAAGCCCCAAGCGACCCCATGCTTAATTCCAAACAGGCATCAAGCTATGCTTTCTGCGTTCTCTACAATACGTTGTACTTTCCAAGCATGATACAAAAATCAAGACTGATACGCGCTGTACACTCAGAATCTGAATCCAAAAGATCTACCAACAGTTTACATGAAACACGGCAACATTTGGTTTCCCGGTAACATTTGCTTTGGGCGCAAGACAAAGAATTTGGTTACTGGGAAATGTAAGACACAACGCTGTACACTCAGGGGAAGGCAGGCTCTCGGCCCTGTGCTGATATGCCTCTTTTTCCCCGGAGTCACATTACTCCTCTTGTAATCTTCGCTCCGTTCTCCTCCCACCAACCTTGAAAAGCAATTGCCATCAACAAGGTGATAATTAAGGTTGCTCCTTATCGCAGGGGCATGTCACAATTATGGAAGGAAGATGAGGCAACTCAGAGCTTAGCCAGTTCTTTCAAAACTTTGAGCCACAAACACCATGGATGGAGAAGCTACAGCGCGCACCCCATAAGCAGCAAAGGCGCTTTAAGTAATGTTGCTCCTCAGCACCACAGTCCGTGATTTGATTATACGAGCCTGTTTTGGCATGCTGCTGCTTTCTATGATCTGGTTCACCAGACCAGGGATGACGCTGTTGTTGACAACTGTGAGCTTCCATTTGTAAACCACTGTTGGGGGCCCTTCCTAGAACTGAAGCACGTACACCAAAGTCTTTTATACAGAAACATATATAGCTGCATCAAAACACGAGAGGCGGCAGGCCAGCAGCAGCAGCAGGCACACTGCTGGATTTCAATATGGTACACTGGGAAGAGACCAGTGGTATCAATCCATTACTTTAGGAGCAGAGCAGAAGGGGATAAACATTTCTTTAGATGAGAGCTGTATCAAAATGGGGGAAAGGAGGGGAAAGAGAGAGACATCATCTACTCATGACACCTGTTTGCACTTCTTCGGGGGACGTCGGTGGAGTCAGAGTAACGGAGGACATCGCTGGGTCTCTGGTAGAAGCAGGCACTTGATGGACACCCAAGCAGGTACTGGACCCAGCAGTGCTAGGAGCAGGAATGTCGGTTTGAGGAACAAGAACAAAGCACGCTGGGTATACCATTCGCACGCCAGCTAGAAAGAAAAAGAAATAAGCTTATGGATTACTGATATTCAGCCAAGGCACAAACATGACTGCTAGTCTTTATTTATTTGCCATATGGACACTTACTGAGTTCACAGTAGCCCATGTGTCTCCACTCCCGACCATTTCAATCTCCCAACAAGTCTGTAAGGTACATCAGGCTGAGAGAGGATGTAACTGTCCCAAGGTCACCCAGTGCATCAGGCAGATGAGTCAGGATTTGAAGCCAGGTCCCAGATGAACCCTCTAAATACTAGACAACACTGTCTCTTGCTCCCCCTTGAACACCCCCCCCCTTTTAAAGACTCCACAAGCCAAAATGTTCCATTTACATTTCATGGTTCCTCCCCCAGCAGCCTTCTCAGGTCTTTTGCCCTGACCTGGAAGCTCACAACCACCCTGTGAGGTAGGCTTTGTTGAGAGGCAACTAGCTCAACAGTATTCAGTACGATCTGGAGTCTGAGCAAAAGCTTACGAGTCCACACTGAGCATTATTTACTATACGAATTGATTGCAACCTGATGAGGGGCCTTTTGCAAATTCTTGATCAGAAGTTGTTGAACGATTAAAAACAAGGTTCCCTTTACCCAAAATCTATGTTCTATCCGTCTGTGTATTTAGGCGCAGCGGAAGCTAAGGCCCTTAAGGCAAAACAGAAATGAATACAGAACCCCACAAATCTGGAATCTGCCCACACTCGCTCCCAGCTAGCCTTCCCCGACCAACTGCTTCTCCAGGGAGGCGAGACCAAAGCTTCCCTCATCTCACAGCTCTGCTGTAGTCCAAAGCATCCAGAAAGCACCAGGTCAGGTGAAATTACCCAAGGCTGGGAAGCACTAACCTAGGTTATCACCCTCGTTGTTCAAAGGAAAACAAGAAGGCCTAACCCTTAAGCGTCCCTTAAGCCCGGAAAGTGAGTATACACCCTTCATGACGCCACCCCGGCACTGTCTCTCGTGAAGAGCTTCAGAGTCATTACACTCTACCACCTCAGCCCCCTTTACTTTCCACATGATGTCCATTAGCAGATGATTAATAAAACTATTTACTGAAAGCTATGGGGAATTGTTTAATATAGCCAGGGTCCCCCCCCCTCGTTTTGAGTTGCAGAAAAGCCTGTTGAATGGCTAGGAAAATTACAAGCAGCTCCCCTTCAAGCCTCTGCACCACATGGCTTACGGCTCTCCTTGACTATGAAATCTGAGACTGTTTCCGCTCCCGCTTATAAATCCTGGATGGCCGCTATCATTTTGCCTGGGCCTCAATTATTCTTCTGCCCACTGTTAAACTAAAAGCATGTTCCTTGTCAGTGATGCAATATAATTTATCTACCTTTTTTTCTGTTCCTCCGCTAAAGCAGTAAAACTCCTTGTCATTTTGGTCGTAAATCCTAGTCTAGTTTGGCCCATAACGATCATGCCACTCTTCAGAGTGAAGACGGTTAAATTTTAATCCATCTCACTGCCACCCCCTCTACTTTTTTTAAAAGAAATAATTCCATGCTCCCCGACACGGCTTATGTATTTTTCTGACACTATGTGAAGAGGACAGTTCAATCTCCCTACAAGATAACAGCTGCAAATCTTGGTGGCTAGTCAAAGCTAAAAGACCCAATTTTCTTATTCCTATTTATATTTTGCCTCTACCCCTTCCCCCCCCCCGAGTGTTTCTAGGATGGCCTAGAGGGACTCCTCCCTCCTTTATGCCATCTGGGCAACGGCCCTACAAAAGCAAGTTGGGCTGAGAAATAACATCTGCCAGTCCAGAAATAAGACATCATACCAACAAGGACTTCCACAGCAGCTAGAGAATCATCCTCCCAATCCATCTCCTCATGTTTTTCCTCTAGTCCTTCCTTCAGGTTCGACGTGATCGGATAGAACTGCTTCCATTCGCCAATGAGTTTCTTTGTCGCCGAGTCCGACAGCTTGAATGACTGTCCCGTGAGCGTACCATTTAATCCAAACGGGCTCAGAATAACTAGAAGTTACAAAGAAGGAGAAAATGGTCATACTTGTCAAATGATAAGAACAGTGGCAACCATTGAATATACTCCCCAAATTCCTGGCAATGATTTAAGCGACAAGTCTGTGGGATGGATAAGCTTGGTAAAAAGGGGAGGCCATATTTCTGTAACTCGCTAAATGCACCCAGCAAGTATACATTAATAGATTTTTTCAAGGACTACACGCCCCATTTTTGGACATGTACCAAAGCCGGGGTTTCTTCCCCCTCATAAAGCTACACAAGCCTTTTATTTAAGATGGCTTTCTTAAAGCTTGTCAGGCGGGGCAGAGTAACACCTTCAATCCCCACTGTCATTAATTAGGAGAGTGGGTGGGATCCTTTGGGCAACCTTCAATCTCTTCTTTGCTTAATTATCTAAGGGAGATGCCTCCCACTCTCCTCAGAAAACGGACTGGAGAAAAGAGTCACCATTCACCCACTCCCACGCCTTCTGGTGACTTAGAAGTGAATGCAGAACATTTCACAAAATGGAGCAGACATGAACTCTGGAAAGGTATTCTCTCTCCCTACGTAAAAGAATGTCGTCTGTCACAATTAAGCCATGGTTTGCATTCATAGTTTGTAAGTTCACCCTGGTTTATGTGCCTTGGGATCCAGTGTGAGGACAAAATGGAAACGAGAAGCCAGGAGGATTCTAACCTTGGTATGCAAGGGGGAGAAGGAAGTGCACCAACTTAAGGTTTGTGCCTGCTCAGCGTTATAACCCTGAAATAGTTCAACCTCTATAGAAAGAACATTTTTTTTACGATTTCATGTACAAGGAAGGCTTCACCATCCATAGAGAACCCTTTTTCTGTGGCACTGATGCCTCGACAGGTGTAAGCAATCTCTCCCAGCTCCAGCCATCGGCATGTATAGTCCTTTGGATGTTTACAAACAAAAAACCAGCTGGGAATAATGCTAAATCTACTGCATTTTTCTGCAGGGTGCATTTTCATCCCAGTCTGTATAACGTATTAGGACAAAAAAAGAGTCACCTGCCATTTTTGTTTTGTAAACCAAAGAGGCAGCCAGAGAAAAGACTCCCCCCCCTTGAGGAAGAAGCCAACATTTCTTATGTCGAGGAGACAGAGGGACTGATTCAAGTACATGATACCCTAAATTCAGCAACAATGCTCACCCTAATCTCAGAACATTGGAATTCTCATGGGTCAGAAACAAAGCCCATACAAGGCAAGGATCTTGCTGTACAAGAATTAAAATCTTAGAGAGGGACAACCCACGGGGCATCTTCAATCAGCAGGGTAGACTGCGCTGTGCCATGCTGCACAGCAGCGAGGCAACACCCTTGACTGGCACTCTTCAGGCCAAGGACTTACTGTCTCTCATTAAAATGTATGCGCACCGAAACAGTGCAAGTTACATAAGAATGAATGTACCAGAACAGCAGCTAGAAATTAATCCATCTGAACATCTGACACAGAAATGCCTTGCATAAGAGAACAGTAGCAATGGAGAACAATATTTTGGTAGATCTGATAAGGCAGAACCCTTTAAAAAGTGAGGAACTTTTCTCTTCTTTTCCTATATAGATAGATAGCTTAAATAGAAAGGAACAGTGCCACCTTCTGAAGCTCCTAACTACAGGTCAGAGTGCAGTTCTTTAAAAAAATTAAATAAAAGTGGGGAGAATCTGGTAACAGAAGAAGGACGGACCCTGAAAGTGCAGTGAACTGGTCTACGTTACGAAAGCCACCCCTTAGCAGTTGGCAGATGAAAAGTTGCAGAACATGTTTTTTTTTCCCTAGACGTGCACGCAGAAGAACCAGTTTAAAAAAAATGTTCTGGTTCATTCCAGGAATAAAACAGATAAGGATCCACTTACTGCATGCAGAACCTCTGGTTTACAGGGCAGAACTCAAGCACCAAAGTTCAAGAGCCTTAAAACAGACCATCTTAACAAGTAGCTCATGATTGATGATTTCCCCCTTTTTTATGCTGAAGGGTTTCTCAATTTCTTCAAATAAATATTTATTGCTAAAAATCCAGCTTGCAGTAGGTATGGGTGAGGATAGCAAACTCAGGCAGGCCTAAAATGTACACTCAAAATGTTGAAGCTAGTGTACATATAATGAATGATGCATTCACACTTTAAGATGCCTAAGATGTATATGGCACTTAGAAAAAGACTGTCATACTGAAAACTGTGCAAGTATCGATAAATAGGACAACTTTTGTTGACATTTACAGATTGCTGATAATGGCCAGAATCCTACTGCAGTCATGCAACCTAAACTGAAAACTGTGTTAACTGGCCTACGTTACCATTCCTGCTGTCTTCCCTGTGCCTGGACAACCCTTGGATTGCACACTTGGTTACAAGCACACAACAGGCAACCAACACACAAACACACACACATACGGCAAAAACCACTGCCAACTTCACAATTAATCTTTTAAGATAAAGAGCTTCCCTTGACAAAGCTGTAACAAGGATCAAGGGTAAGGCAAAGGTTCCCCTTGACAATTTTCGTCCAGTCGTGTTCGACTCTAGCGGGCGGTGCTCATCCCCGTTTCCAAGCCATAGAGCCAGTGTTTTGTCCGAAGACAATCTTCCATGGTCACATGGCCAGTGCGACTTAGACACGGAACGCTGTTACCTTCCCACCGAGGTGGTCCCTATTTATCTACAGTACTTGCATTTGCATGCTTTCAAACCGCTAGGTTGGTGGGAGCTGGGACAAGCGACGGGTGCTCACTCCGTCGCATGGATTCGATCTTACGACCAAGGGTAAAACAAACCAAAAATCCAAGAAAACGAAGAACCTGGGGCATTTTTTTCCATTCTAGGTTATGACTCTGCAGCTGAGACTTTCTTGACATAACTAATAACAGCCTAGAAGAGAAAAATGGCCAGAATCCTGTTGGGTAACTATGTAAGTGCAGCAGGAATGATGTCACTGGTGACAGGAGGACTGCTGCTGAGTACAGAGTCCCTGCTTCAATTTTGGGTGCTGCTTCTACTCACTGCATACTAGTTGTGCACAAAACAGAACTGAAGTAATAACTCATGTAAAATTTCTCAAAATTTCTATTAAAAAAAACAGGGAATTTTTTTTTAAATTTCCATTTTTTTTCCAGAAAGTTTTTTTTTCTGAAAAGAAAAAAGGAATTTTTAAAGAAATTTTACATCTCTAACTGCCTGTGACATCACTCCCATTACAGCAGCAGCAGAGCTACACAACAGGATGCTAGTCAATGTGAATTTATCATACTAGCGAAGAAACCTACCTTGAAACGGGCTGTTGGATTGCTGGGCCAAGGTCAGATGTTCTTCGCTAACAAAGTAGACAGGTTGGTGCTGGTTGATTTCCACACTGGTGCAAACGTTGCTGTCCCCATGCAAGAAGAAGGTGAAGGAGCAGGACAAGTGCTCGCTGAGAAAAGAGCAGAAGGACAATCAATCTGCATGGCACACAGAAAGGGTCACGTTCAACAGTAGGTTTGAGGGAGCCAAAAAAGGTGCAACTTCTCTTCCTGATCCCAGGGATCAAGTGCTGGGCAGGGGGCTGGGCTCCTCAACAGGGTACCAGCAGGCCCCAATGTGCTCACAGACCCTTGCTTGGATGGCCAAATCCTCCTCCTCCCCCATTAAAAAAAAATAACAACACCAAAACCATTACAGTATATGCAACACTGACAACAACAAAGGCAAAATATGGCACCACACTTTCAGCCACCTGCCTTGTCCTTTCATTTCACCATTATGCTCTTGGGATCCATATGAGGTCGCAGAGGGAATCTTAGGGGATCAAGACGACGGTAGTGGGGATCCAGCATGTTGTTCGGCAGTGCTAACAACCTCTCTGCCAGACTCATATCTCGGCCACATCTGCTCTAAGTCAGGAGGCTATGGGCTCTAGCATCCGAAACAAAAAAACTAGCCAATCGCTTTCAAATTAGACAAGAGTCTTATACCAAGAACTATTACTGGTTTAGTCGTCGTCATTATCATCATCATCATAATCTTAGAACTGCAGAGCTGGAAGTGATCTTTCAGACTGAGTTCTACCCCTGTCAAGGAGGCACAGTGAAGAACCCAGCTCCGCAGAATCCAGACACCTAAAAAGTTCCTTTGTTCACATTTATAGAAACGATAATGAAAACGAGTCTTTAGTCTCAAAACATTTGAAGAACAGAATCAAATTATAGTGAAAAAGCCACCAAAGAAAACCAAAGACATAAACTACTGCACTTAAGGGGAAATCATATTTAACCAGACTGTGTAAAATTAATCTATTTATTTACAGTCTGTTATCTTCAACAACAAATCAACACTTCAGAAAACAAAAGGTTCTGCCAAACAGTCAGACATGCGTCCCTTCAATTAAGTTGTAACAGGCTTAGCAAAGCGCATGGTTCACAGCACTCTAGCAATCCTTAAACAGAACAGAGCAACGTAACTCATTCTGAACGATCCCAAACCAAACAGAGATGTTTGAATCTCCAACACATAATCCATTCACAAGACCTTTTTCCCGCCACACACACACCGCCGTATCTGAAAGGCACATTTTTTTTAAAAAGGCATTTGCCTCCTGCTTCACTTCTGCACAAAACCACTGAACAGGCAAGGTAAGGCAGGCCTACATTTACAGGGGACACAGCTTCACAGACCACCTTAGGCCTATTTTACACATTGCAAAAAAGAACAGCCACGGAAGTGCAAGGAAGAGTGATGGACACCCCCCCCCCATCCCCTGACATGGTTACAAAGGCCTTCTTGTGGCACAGTCACACTCTGCATGCTCAAGTGCACCCCTGTGATGTATTTAAGGACACACTTTTAAAAGGATGAAGTGTGAACTCACCCTGAGCCACTGGGCAATCTTAGGAGACCAGAGCATACAAGCATCTACATGGCTGAAACAAGGTGTACTGGTATACTTCCCAAGTTAGCTAGCACTGACTTCTAAAGAATCTGGAGATGTTGGTAAAAATACTGGAATTCCTCATTAGAGACCTTAACCGTCTCTTACTGCCCCCATAGTTCCTTGTGGATAGTGAACGACGACTAAAATAGTGAGATCCTAGGGAGTTGTAGGGAAAGTCCTACAACTCAACAACACAGCATCCTCCCAGGTTCAACACCTAATATTGCCAGTTAAAAGGACTGGTTTCCTGGAAGATGTCTACATTGCTGAGACCCATAGAACCGCAATCAACAAGTCCTAAAAAAGGTGCTAAGGAGTGTTTTCTCTACCTATAAAATGAGGATGGCAACTTCTCCATAAAGATAAAATGAGGAATCAGTACAGCAGGTGTATTTTTTTTAAAGGGGGGGGGATATGAACATTTATTCTCTTCTCTAGAAGTGGAAACACACGTTTCAGATGTAGATGAGACAAGTTACAGTATACTTCTGAAAATGGAAATCAAAGCATCCTGAGGCTTCTGCTGTTTGCTCTGCAGGGAAACTAGGAAGGTTCAAGAAATAAAATGCAAAGTTTTGGTCTGAGGTTTACTGATTTTAATGTAAACAAGAACATGGGGGAAAAAATAGTAGAAAGTTTGAATGAATGTGCATGCTTTAGTGGCCGCAACATTTTTCTCTTTTATGTACTGTGGCGAGGGCCCTCCTAGTAGGAGATTCTCAAAAAATTACAGATAAGATGATCCTTTCTTGCTTTCTTCCTCTCTACAGACATCATGGGAGGGGGGATTATAAGGACAGCTAATACAAAGGAAAATCCTGAGTGTGTTAAAATTAGCATTCAGTGATCTTTTTTTAAAAAAAAATTTTAATGTCATTTCTATGCCCTCACGCAATCTCAGAATAGTGCAGATGCTATATTTACCATGTTAACGCACAAAAGCACAGAAGAAGAAATCAAAGCTTTGTGGGATGGCTACAACAACACTTTCACCCACACGGACTCCCCCCCCCCAGGCTTCATGCTAGCTTTGTTTGTAGTCAATCCAGAGGAAAAAAGAGCTTAAAACCACAGCCTTGATTTCCCCCCTCTCTGCTTGCTCGTTATCCGCACAAATACATGAGAAGACAGCATATTCAGAATTACAAAGCAAAGTCTGACACACAAAGGGTTAGGGTTCAACACCACTCATCTTCTTGAAATCACAGCACAATTATATACGGTGCTGATCTGTGTTTCAGTACAAGACTGTCTACTTGATCAAATCTATTCTTCAGCTCCCTGGAAATTATTTCCGTTCTCCAAGAATCCATCCACACACCCAAGCAAAACTCTGGGTCTTTCCAAAATGCACTGAGCAAGCCTGCTCTCATAGAACAAATAAATTTACATATCGAGGAATTCCACATGACAAGCCTTTTGGATCTGCAACAGAGGCTTCAAAGTCGCTATGAAACAGGAGTGACATCTTGTGAACACACCATCAGCTGGTGCCACAATTACTATCTGTTTTACACCTCCCGCTTCCCTCCTGCTTCAATTGCACACTACCAGTCTTGATTGCTCCTGTCTATTGTCTTATCTTTCCTTCTAACAGCAGTGAGCTCCAGGAAATAAAATATCCCACACGCTAACAACAACAAAACCAAAACCCAACCCTCTCACTGCATGGCAAAGATTTTGTCCTTACCTCGGAGGCAGTCCACGCTGGATCTTCCAGCATTAGCTTACAACAGTTCTAGCACTCATTCTGACTTGGGCACATGCCAGCCGCTATGCAGCTGTATCATAGCAGTTTATCTCAGGCAACTGAAAATAAACTGATTAGATTAACCACCACAGCCAAAATCTTTCCCTACCCCAAAGAGAGAAAGAGAGAGAGAAAATCTGAGTTTACTAAAACACATTCAAGCCTTCAACGGGGAGAATGCCACACTCTGACCATTCTAGAGGCTTGCTATCTTTAATGAGAAAGTTGACAATAATAAGAAAAAAAAACTAACCACCTGCCAAGGGAACCGTTGCAGGAAAATGGTAGGGTTTGGGGCTTTGATTTTGTTTTGTTACTGAAAACAATCCAGGGTAACCTTAGAAAATTAAAGGACTCTGCTCCAAGGAAGACATTTACTGGAGATCAAAAACAAAAACAAAAATCTAAGACAATGAACACCTGTCATTAGAGTTTATCCAAATGATCTTACAATTATCTTGTATCTGATGAAGCTGATTGAAATCCATGCAAACCTGGAACCAGCTCCAGCCAGCTAATCTTTATGGTGCCACAAATTTCAACAGAAGTTGAAATTTAAATTCAGTTAAAGCAGACCCACTGAAATCAAGAGAACTTGTTCTTGATTAACAAGTTCCATTTGTTTCAGTGAACTGACTGGATTTACCCCACTGATGGTTTGCTAACATGCATGTCTCCGTGGTATGTTTTTAATCATATTTACTACAGCTAAAAAGCAATGGAAAAAAAATATAAGATGGCATTGTCACAAAGCAACTTTATTCACAAGAGGGGTGAACTGTTAGCAGGCTTAGTTTATCCAGCCAGGGTAGCTGCATCAAACTGAAGCCCTTTCAAGTCGCATTAATCTCAAAGGTGGATTGATTTAAAATCAAGGCAATTTAATTTACTAGGGGAAAGGGGCAGATTCAAACCAGTAATTTAAATCATATTTCCCACTGATATGACTTTAACAACAGCACAAACCTGGCCTCTGAATCATGTTAGCTCAGAATTAAGAAGCACGCTCTTTTCAATACAGCTTTATCTCGAAGAATCTAGAGAAGAGAAGGTTCCTGTTGGTCCAGAAAGTAAGAAATATACGGAATCAGCAGGGATCTGTGTGTGTCAATTCCTCTCTGCTTTCCACTGTTTCAATACAGCTTTATCTCGAAGAATCTACAGAAGAGAAAGTTCCTGTTGGTCCAGAAACTAAGAAATGTACGGAATCAGCAGGGATCTGGTGTGTCAACTCCTCTCTGTTTTCCACTGACTCAATGAACTACTCTAGTTGCAACTTACTACACTAAGTCACAGGATTTCCTGTTGACTACTAGAAGGAAATACAGGAATGTATGAAAAGAAAGTGGCCAGTTCAATCCTGGGCATCTTTAAGGCAGGTGCAAAAGATTCCTGTGCAAAAGCAGGTCCTTGTGGCAACACGCTAGATGGAGAGCGGTCTATGTACTTGTGTGTTTTCTACAACCCGACAGATTTCAGCAGAGCTGCCACTACAAAACAAACTTCAATTTTCCAACAAGGCATGTGAGGATCATGTACCTTAACCAGAATACCTTGCTTTGAAGGAAATCTGCAGGGTTCCTTTAAACACAAGCTGCAAACCTTGTTCACCTCTGCCAATTCAATGTTTCCATACTGTACCGGACCACCTTGTATCTCTGTTGGCCAGAAGAGTTCGCCCCACATTGAGATATTTGGCTTTTAAGATCCTGCCATGAGTCCCTTCCCTGTAGCTCTGAAGAAGAAAGAGCAC